CTCCCTCTTGTGGAAGACAGGGTGAGTCGTCTTTTGTTTTTCCTTTCAAATGGTCATTTTGATCTCCTGCAGCCATTAAAATAACAGGCAATGAACATTTTTGAAGTATTTTTGCATTTTTATCGTGATCAAGTATTACGTTTACCCTTTTTGCACTAATTAGCTCTCCTGAGGGCTGTACTACGCAGTGAGATTAGTGGGTTATCGAGGTATGTGGAGCTTAAAGTCAGAGTTTTCAGTGTCACAAAGGTGGCTATCTTTTTACCTGGCTAGAGCTCCATGGTAACTGATGCTGTAGAGCTAACCTGGTCTGGAGCAGGTTGTGTTCAGAGTTTCAGATTTAAATTGGCAGAAGTAGCTCCCTTTAATGAAATCGTTTCCTGACTATTCTCTATGAACGATACAGATTCTCAGCTGAGGGAATGTGTTTAATCTGCTAACATGCTGAGTTGTGTGTTACTAATATCACTGAATGAAGCCGTGTAGTTACAGTATTGCACACTGTATGTATCGTGTTGCCGTGGGAATCAGACGTATTAGAAATATGTAATAGAAATCACATAAATGTGTTTTAATGTTTGGCTCTGATTTGCTGTCAAGTCCATTTACTCTGCTGGTACTGCAGCTGATAGAACACAGATTAGAAAATGGATTCTTCTACTGGTATTTATTACAGAGAATTTTCAGTCAATAACATTAATCTAACTTTGGCCAAAAATGAAAGTGATGTCCTGCATTATGGGACAGTGTCAGACCTAAATGTACTTCAGTACAAAATCATGTTTAAATCTAAGTTTAACAGTTTAATGTGCAGCTGTCAGTTATAAATAAGCAGCTGCACTGATCGTTAAATAAATGTATTAGGCACGTTTAACAGTTTTCTACCAGTATTCCTGTATTGCACCATTTGCAGTAGCAGCGCTTTTTACCACCATCCTTTTTTTATATTCCTCTTTATTCTCCATGAAAACAACATGTTGACTGAAGCAGCTTCACACGATCATCTCATTTAGTGCAGAAGAGTCGCATAAAGCCTCCTTTATGTGAACGAGCACAGAGTCTGAAGCAGAACGTCTGAGTTAGCAACGAAAGTTGATAACCACCTTTGTGATACATGTTATCTCTGACTGGACCTTTAGTTTTTGTCACGCAAACTCACACAAAGAAAGCCTGGCTTTGTCAAGCTTGCTTGGTGGTACACCTCTGGGTTTCCCAGTTCATTTTTGTTAGTATTTAAGCTTGTTTGAATTGTTACTATCTTCTTTGTTGGAGGAAGTAAACTGAAATACTACATAAGTGCAACAAAATACCATCACCATTTAAAAAATATATAACTTTAACTAAGTATTTTGCCATTTTTGCTAAATGAAAAGAAACCAAATAATTCGGTTTATTTTCATTTCCCAGACAAAGGTATAGTTGTAGAATCAGCATCACCAACTGTGGTATGAGGAAGAAGGAGAGAAGAAGAGCTTCTATAGTGGGATAAGCTATAGGTTGCTTGTTATGTAACAGAGATGTATGGAGTCCAGTGTTTATCATGTTTCAGTGGTTACCATGGCTGCACTGCAAACCTCAGTGACAGGTGGAGACAAGAGGTAATCCATACACAGTAAATCAGAGAGACACACCTTTCTACACATGAAATGTTTTGCAAGGGCAACCGCTGCTCACTCTTGACTACTCTGGTCAGTAAAATTAACTCTTCAGGCCCATGTGCTCTTATTGAAAAAAGTTTATCCACAGTCTACAATCTCAATGTAAAAAATGTTTACATTGAGGTGAAGAGAAAAGACATACCTGCTACTTACTGTCAGTTCTAATAGGTTTCAATGAAAAATCTGCAACATCACATATACTGTAACGTACCAAGACAAAAAGGTTATTCTTCCTAAATTTGTTTAGAAATTTAAACCGATATTCAGTAATGTACTCTTCTGATGTATCTTTAGAATGTTGTGCCTTTGATCGATCTGTTTCCATGTATTCGAAATGAAATAATACACCTGAGAATTCCCTTTCACTGGAGGCGGTATTCTGAGAACATGCTCAGTGTATTTTTAGTAAGGCAGACATAAAAGTGTATTCTGTTTATGAAATCTGAAGACCCCAAAGTAAACTTTACATTACACACTGTGCTCATGTTTACTCATGATACCAATAAAAATATGTGATTAACTTTGTTGTCTGAGTTCCAGAAAGACAAAGTGATGGTTTTGACATTTGAAAGAAAGGGGATGTTTGTGGCTCTGACATCTGAGCAGTGGTGGAAAAGGTGCTGAGATCTTTATACCCAAACAAGTGTTTGTACTATAGTGTGGAAATACTCACTGAGAATTAGACCGAGTAATAACTGAACTGCAATTATCAATGCATTAATGTGTAAGCACTGACTTTGATAATGCAGTAGCTAAAGGTGGGGATTTTTTAAAATGTGTATTATGCACTGCTGGGTAGCTGCATCTAGAATACTTTCCCAGAATCTATGTATTAATCATATTTTTGTTTTAATCTGAATCTACAAAATCAATTGTAATGCAGCGGAGTGCAACATGTTCCTCTGTCATGTAGGCTACTACTGTAAATGTGTGAAGTATAAATGCACAAAATAAAAATACTGAGTACAGAATGTATTTTGGTTACATTGTATCACTGGATCTAAGCAGCATAAGAAATAACTGATTGACATCACATATTTTTGAATTGGTACGATGTTTCCAGAGGTTTACATAGTTTAATGCATTATTTATTTATGATTTTATTAACACTGTAAAGGTCATGTCATCAGTAATGTTGGAAAAACTTGAGGGTGTCATGGCCATCTGCTTGCCATTACACATGATATTTTTTTTAGGATGATGCTAATATGGCACTGCACGGTAGCTCTGTGGTTCGCACTGCCGCTTCGCAGCTAGAAGATCCCCGGTTTGCGTCCTGGTTAGGATGCCTGGAACGCCTTTTAGGACTTTCTGGAGTTTGCATGTTCTCTCTAGCTTCCTCCCACAGTCCAAAAAATATATTGAGGTTAATTGGTGATTCTAAATTGTCCGTAAGTGAGAATGTGAGTGTGCTCTCTTGTTTGTCTCTCTGTATAGCCCTGCATTTGCCCTAAGTCAGCTGGGATAAGCTCCAGCCCCCTGCGACCCTAGTGAGGATTAAGCGGTGTATAGATGATGGATGGATGTGAATTATTCTTGTTTCCATTAACTGCTTAAGTGCAAATAAAGTAGGCTGCATAGTTTTCTTAGAGGGTGGTATACAATAGGCTACATTACATTAGCAGAAGATACAGTACATATGTCACAGAGTCTTGCTCAAGTGACAAGCATGAGTCACTGAGGGCACATACAAGAATCAAAAAATAACGAGACTCTGATTGCAATAATCAAAAAATGTACTTGATTTAAATTTGACTTCCATTCCAATTGAAGTAGCCTTTATGTGTAGCAATACTCTGCTCCCAGTGTTTTGCATTGCATGTAACACTTCCTGGAAGTCTCATTATGTTAACGTGCCAGGCACCATCTGTGATTAGGCCGAATTACTTAAACTGACCAAAACAGTGATGCTTTAACTTCAGTTTCTTCCTGGCAAAGAGGAAGGCATCACAGAGAGCCAAATGTAGCAAGTGGGGTAAGAGGAGAGATGACTGTCTTTGTGTTTGTTGTAGCCAAAAAAGCTGAGTGTTATTGCAGCTGCATCAGAGTACACATGTGCCATCACATCAGGGTTTTTTTGTGCCAAATGCTCTTCCTCAGACATCTCAGGATGCTACAGGAGAACTCTGCCTGACAGTCTGAACCTGGAAGACAAATTCATGATGCACAAATACATGAATGTTGAAGGAAAAATCTGCACGCTCCTGAGCTGATGCGTCTTGTTTGGTCTGTGAAAGATGCTGTTGGTTCTCTGGGTGGTAACTGCAGACCAACATTCATGATTAGTGATAATTCTCTGCATTAAAGTTGAATCAGTCCAGTGGTAGATGGTCACAGAATGGGATGTTTGCGCTTTGCTACCATTTGCGATCCATTTAAGAAAAAAAGTTGGAGGGAAGTCTTCGAGAATTGTTTTAATTTGGGAAAGTTGTAATTATTCTTTCATATCTGCTGCTATTGGACATGTTACATGCTGCCCGGTAATTAAAACAATGAAGAAACAGCTGATCAGTCATGTGAGTTCAGTTCAATTCAATTCAATTTTATTTGTATAGTGCAGTTTACAACATATGTCACCACATAGTGCTTAACATAGTAAGGAATAGACCTTACAAATTTAAACAGAGAATCCAACAACCCAAAGTAGCCTTTGGACTCCATCTCAGCAAGTGGTTGGCAACGGTGGGACGGAACCAAAACCCTCCCAAGGGAGAGGGGAAAAAAAAAAACTCAGACAGAACCAAGCTCAGGAAGGCGGCCAACTGCCTCGACCAGTTGGGTGACAGTTCAGTGTTTCGTCCGAACTTCAAGTATTTCTCTCCTTAACTGCCATTAACTCCTTTTCAAAGAAGTCAAAAACAACCTGAATTCTGCTTTTTCCTTTAACTTTTTTCCAATTTGATACTTCAAAATGCCGACAAAAATATGGTCCAAAAACATGGCTCGTCCAGGGAAGACTTATATTGAAGATTTAGACAATGCTATGGGGAGATAAGATTTACAGAAAATATAATTGAACTATTGTGACATGTTGTGGTTCAGAGTTTGTTTGGCTGGGTGGGGTACCTCTGGGGGAATGTGGACTCCTGACCTCTAACATCCTGACTAAGGCCCTGCATCCATCCTCTCTCCAGACAGCTAAATTCTACTTACTTTATATTTGAAAAAGTTGCACCTGCAGCTCAGTTTGATGCGACACACAGTCACAGTCTAGTGTTGTACCGGTTGTGCAAACATTCCCAGCACCACTGTACTGGCTGCATTTTTTCCTCCTCACTATAAAGCCATGTTTTTGTCACTGTGGGTGACTTATCGCCCAGTCACGCGTCCAGCCCACAGCCTGCAGGCAGCCACCCCGGCCTGTGTCCCTATAAATGAGCGGCGGTGAACCGGCGGATGTACGCAGCGTGCTTGGGGCGGGTTCGTGGACTTTTGCCTGCCTTTACTTCGTGGTTTTACTTTCTCACACGGTAAGTTTGCGCAAACAGAGATCGAGCAGAGACAAAATATGCTTATGATAAAGATGTATATTTTTATAGAGCCATGCTGTCAGTGGCTAACACCACACAGGGCTAGTGAAAGTAAACAAACGCTGTGTTATTTCCGGGTTACTTGGCCGATAATTCTGAACATTTTTACGCGATTCTTTGAAAAATGTCAAACCAGTTTGAGGAAACGCGACATCATAGACCAGTATGGAACAATGTCACTCCCAGTCTGTCAAGTTTTTAATGAAGTAAAAGGCGCACAGCTGCTCGACTGTCCAGCTGTCATCCACATTTACTCCACGTTTTATCTCACAAACAGCGTGAAGTGTGTCTTGTTTCTACAACGTGTAAAGCTTCTCTTTTCCATTGGATGTTGTTGTGTAGACTGTTCGGTAGAAGTGCTGAGGTTACAGTTTGTTCAACGTAAACCAAACTGTGAAGTAAAGGTTTGATGCATGTCTCTAAGTATTGAAATATTGCTGAAAGGTATCTTGCAGGATGGAATTATATACTGGTGCTGCAACAAAGGATTATTTACATTATCGATTAAGCTGTTGAATATTTTCTGGATTTATTGATTAATTATTTGATCTATATAAAGTCAGAAAAGAAAGAGAAACCAACAAGTAATGCGTTATAAGAGGCTGGGATTACAGAATTTAGTCTTCAGAATTCCTCAAAGTGATTATAACATTTTTATAATAATTGATGATAAATGTAATAGTTGGCAACTAACCATTTAATCAGTTATTTGTTGCAGCTCCATGATGGACTAGTTAAAACCTTTGTTCACACATTACAGGAAAACTGCAGATCACCAGTGATGGCCAACATCAGCAGCTCAAACACAGTTTTTGCCTTGGAGCTGCTCCGCACTCTGAGCCAAGCAAATCCTTCCGGCAACATCTTTGTCTCACCGCTGAGCATCAGCTCAGCCCTGGCGATGGTCTACCTGGGAGCTAAAGGAGACACTGCTGCTCAGATGGCACAGGTCAGCACACTGTCACTACACTACATGCACCACACCATCAGCTGATCAGCGGGCATTCCCCTGCAACTTCTAGACCTCTGATGCAAAGTCCTATATATGATAAAATGCAGTCACTTCGCCCTGTTTCCATAGAACATCTTGTGAGTTATGACATTCATGTTACCTGTATGAGCCCAGGCACATATCTGGGCTTACACTGAAAGGTGTGTCTTGGGCGATGCATTGACTCTGTGTAATATCACCTGTACTTTGACCTCAATAAAAGCCTTTGGAACAAGATATACATTTCTGCTAAAAAGCAGACATTGTAAAAACTGTCACATGACCAGGTCGGTCCATTCATGAAACCTGTTTGCTTTTGAAAGGTTTAGTCCAAGCTTTGCTCTTTGTTTGTCTTCTTTTTGATTTTGATTTACCTTTTTGTTTAAAGTGTACCAACTTTAGCCAGATGTCAAATTTTCATTCACAAAGCCTCAGCAGCCTGATAATTTAAAAAAAAAAAAAAACAGTGTACAGAAATATAAATATGCAAAATATGACATCCTTTACAAAAATGTTAGGTGAGTTTGATATCAGGGCTCTGTGCAGGAGACAACCCGTGTATATACAAGTGGAAACCCCCTCTCTGAAGGAACCAAAGGGTGATGTCAGTGAGGGTTTGTCAGCAGGTGGCTCCTGCTGTCACTATCTTGACAGTGCCTGACTTCTCTTAACTCCTGGCTAATCCATAAATGACCAAAAACATGGAGCATGAGTGAAGCACGATTGGAGCTGAAGCTCATCATGCAAACTTCTTTGGGCCATCGACTGTCCAGTAACGGCACCCACCTGTCGCTCAAAGTAGACATGTCCTTGATTTTGCAAAACTTTAAGCATTAATACAGTTTATATGAAAACTCGCCATGTACAGTGGTTATGGATGGGGAAATTACCTATAGAGACCAAAACTGTTTTTGTACCAGGCTGTAAAATGTTTCTTTCTGTTGTAATTGTAAACACTTTAACATGGAGGTCAATGGGGAATGACTCCCTTTTCCAACCTGAAGTGGCTGTTAAAGGAACTGAGGTTTTTAAACATTCTGCTTTGGCAGCATTTTCCAGCCCTGCGGGGTGTCACTTGGTGCAGACCAGTTAAGGTTCATTCAAAACTTGAGAGGACTATTCATATAAGCAGCTGACTTTGTGCATAGTAGCATTATTATGTTCAAACAGAACATCCACCAGCTGTTCCCACAAAGTTGGTAGCAAACTATTGTTCAAGCTTAAAGATTTTCTAAAACTGGAACTCATTTGCCTAATCTAAATCATGGAAAACAGATTTGGTAGTTTGCAGACATGCTTGTTTTTGAAATGTGTTTAAACCTCCAAATTTAAAGCTGTTGGAGTATGCTAAAACTTGAATTTTATCAGTAAAACATGCAGATATTCCAACAACAAGATTATTTAATTTCTGGCATACATTGTTACAGTGGCAATCGGTGTGTTGTCCTCTCTGTCTTGTTTTCAGCTTCTTTTTACTGTCTGTAACAATTTCATTAATAGATTTCTTTCGTCTGTCATTTCAACATTCCCCACAGGCCCTCTCATTCAGCTTGGATACAGACGTTCATGCAGACTTCCAGACACTTAACGCTGACATCAACTCCCCATCTGCATCATACATCCTGAAACTAGCCAACCGTCTTTATGGAGAAAATACTGCCAACTTCCTCCCAGTGAGTTCTTATATTGCATACATCTGCCCCTCAAATATTGTGATTGAATTCATCCTCGATAACAGTGGATTGATAAGCTGTTATCTGCTCTCTGCAGACCTTCCTTGATGCCACACAGAAGCACTACCAGGCAGACCTGAAGGCTGTTGATTTCATCGGGGCTTCAGAGGCGTGCAGAGCCGAGATCAACAGCTGGGTCGAGCAGCAGACAGAAAGTTAGAATATGCAACTTAAGTAGACAAAAACAGTGAACTCCCTCTGTTTGCACAGCAGTAAAAAAATTGATAACATCCTCTGTGAAGTAGTGTTAAATATGCTTTATCTGTGCATTTCCTTTCAGATAAGATAAAGGACCTTCTAAAGCCAGGATCAGTCAGCCCAATGACAAGATTGGCTCTGGTCAATGCCATTTACTTCAAGGGAAACTGGATGAACCGGTTTGATGAGGCAAACACCCAAGAGATGCACTTCAAAGTCAACCAGGTGAAAACTAGTGAAGACAAAAAGACATAATATTTAAATGCAGGACACTCCTACAGATGTGGTACCGTGATCCCACCTCCCTGATTTTCTGTGTTTATTCTGTGTCAGAATGAGACCAGGCCAGTCCAGATGATGTATCAGGTGAAGAAGCTACCCTACAACTTCATCCCTGACCATGGCCTGCAGATCCTGGAGCTGCCCTATGTGGATGATGAGCTCAGCATGTTCATTCTGCTACCTGAGGAGTCTGAAGATGGCTCTGACCCTCTGCTGAAGGTACATGACCTGGAAACAACTACTGCCAGATATAAGGCAGATTATCTGGTTCACTTTGTAAAGCTAAGCTTCACGTAAAAAAGCTTAAAGCTATTGTAACGTAAAGCTATTATAACTATGGTTGGGCATCAAGAACTGGGTACAACTTACAGCTAGTTCCAACTGTCCGATTTTAAAGAAATCAACAGGAAAATGTAATTTTGATTGTTTACTGTTCCTAAACACATTCCACCCATGCCCATTTAAAAAAGAGTGTATTGCAAACACTGACTCTGCTGTCCATGAACTGCTATCTATCTGTGATGTTAGCCTTCTATACTGAATGACTGCGTTTCCTCTCGTCTTTTAAGGTGTCTGTCTTAATAAATTCTGAGTCTAGCATGAGCAGCTGAACTAAACATGGAGATATAAACCAGAACAGACCGTCATCTCTAATGTTACACTTACTCTGTGTCTGTGCTGCTAAAGTTTATCTGTAGTAACGCTTCATATATGAATAATGCAGGAGGATGCCATAGTAACATTACTTGAACAGGAACTTTTTTTTTTGTGACACCAAATGCATCAAATAGACTTTCAGTGGATATGCATTCAGATTGTGTAACCTTAAAAAAACATTGTAACTGTATTAATTCACATAATCATTATGTGTTTGTTTACCTTGACAGAGATGGGCAGTGGTAGAGGAAGTACTCAGATCCTTTACTTGAGTAAAAGTACTAATACCACACTGGTACATCATTAGATTTTAGATATTTTGCACTAACAACCTGCTCCTCAAAGAATTAGAATCAAGTGTTGTGAAAAACCAGAACTGTTAAAATTCAAACAATACCCCACCCGTAGCTACAGTTTAAGTTTTAATTATAGCAGCTTCACTTGTAATAACTGCAGGCTTTATCAAATGACACACTAATCAGATGCTTACAATATCAAGCATACATTTGAGCCAGACAGACAAATGCCAAAAAAATGTTTATTGTGTTCCAGCTGGAGAATGAGCTAACCCAGGAGAGGCTGGACGAATGGACCAACAGGGAAAGCATGGACATTCACACAGAAATCGTTGTTCACCTGCCAAAGTTCAAGCTGGAGGAAGACTATGAGCTGAATGAGCCTCTGGCTAAACTGGGCATGACAGACGTGTTCTGTGGGGCAAAGGCTGATCTCTCAGGCATGAATGGCCAAGCAGGACTCTTCCTGTCTACCGTGGCCCACAAGGCCTTTGTGGAGGTGAATGAGGAGGGCACAGAGGCAGCTGCAGCCACAGCTGGCATGGTAGCGTTTTGCATGTTGAGGGAGGAACACTTCAAAGCAGATCACCCGTTCATCTTCTTCATCAGACATAACAAGACCAAGTCCATCCTCTTCCTTGGCAGGTTCTCTTCTCCTCAGTAGACAGAACCAACAGAGGGAAATGGTGGACTATTTCAAATATTAATGAAAAAAATCTTAAAAAATAATATAAATTAAGCCTTTATTTCCTGTGATGTTTTGCTAATTTAAGAGCACATTTTCTTCTGCTTTTGCACTGAAATGATAGATAAAGGTATTCCAATACTCACTGAAAAGGTTTGATAATTTTGTGATTCAGGTATTTTTTTTATTTTTATTTTTTTTGTATTAATCATGTTTATTCATTTCATGCTTTGTTTAAATTTTGACTAGAAGAATGAATTAAACTTTTAAAAAAATATATCAATACTGGTGTATTTTTTATGATTATTATTTTTTTGCTTTGATTATAAAACAATGAAAGTCATTTTACAGGTATTTGTTTGATATTGTCACTGCCTTTAAAAACATGTCAAAATGAAAAATCTAACACTCAGCCAAAACCAATAGTATAAAGTAAAAAAAGAACTTTGATGCATCATTCCAGCTAAACAAATTAAATGTCAGCAACAAATAACACACTCTTCAGTCATGATAATCAGCAGCAAACTAAGCATAAGCTGAGGTAGTTGTGTATATATAGTCAGCTTTAGGCGACCCTTGGGAAAATGCTACTTTCATAAAAAGTGAAAGCATCTGCAACTCTCCTTCTGTCTGCAAGGGGCAAAGATAAAACATTAGGAATGTATATCCTGTAGGATAAAGTATACAGTACAGCAATAATACAAATATTGGTCCAACATCTAAATTTAAAAGAAAAACAAAATGAATGCATAAAAAAAATATATATATCAAAAAAATCAAGCACAAAATAATCACTAAAGACGTATTTTTGAGCCAAATCTCATAAGTCCATGCCTCTATTGTTTTGTTAATCAGTGCAAGATTTATTTATTTATTTCTAAATTGTTACTCAACAATGCAGAAACTAAACTATAACTTTAAACATATCTTTTGAAAGTTTTCCTACACATAGCAACTCAACAGTTGTAAGGTGATGGGGACCAGGGTCAGAGCCAAGGGGTGACCCAGGGTGGCCAGGGCCACCATAGACTGTCCTCAACCAAAACTTAACCATACGAACAAGTAGTTTTAACTAACAACAAAATGTTTACACTGTTTTTCTAGCAATATCAAGAGATTGCGTTATTGTCACTGAAAAATGTAGACTGTGTAAAATCGCTTGTGTTTTTATATGTAAACAAAGAATATGTTTGTTTTTATTTAGGTTGAGCTGGCCATTCACCTGAAACTGTTGTTCAGACTCTTTGTTTAAGACTGTGGGGATGAAACCTACTCTGTCTGGTTCTGCCACTTGATCATTAAAAAATAACGAGAAAATAAACTTTGTAAAAACAATAACTTGACTGTCCATTACCAAACCGGAAAGAATGTATTACATATATACAAATAAAAGTTACAAAATGTATCAGAGTAAAATTATTTATTTTTTTCCCCCCTAAGAGTCTTTAGATATAAACACATAATTTTGTCATTGCACTTTACGAGTAATCGAGAAACTTTGGGTTATCTATTTGATTCATAGACTGCATTGATGTGAGCCATGAAATAATCCAGTAGTTGTAAGGGAAAACTTTATTTTGAAGGTTACATCTGGAAGCTGACGTCTGTATTGTATGTAACTTGACCAGCCGCCGGCTCCTCTGGTGCTTGAGCAGCCTGCTAATGGTGAGAAACTGCTGCTTTACGTTCTACGTGTTTAATTTACAGTAGCTGTACAGCACTAGCATATCACTCGTAGAAGAATAAAGCACACTCATGAGGCTGGGGTTTAGTTTGTCCAGGTATAATAAAATAAGATCCGCTGAGAGGAGTGAGTGTGACAGCGGCTACCTGCTAGCTATTAGAAACTTCGGCTAATGAGGTTAGCTTGTCTCACTGGCTTTGAACGTCTCACCACTGTCCTGCTCACCTCTAATAAAGAACAACAATAACGTAGGGATGTGTTCAATGTCATGGCATCATCGTGATTTAGGGGTTAGCTGCTTACGTGATTTCAGTCCTAGTTATGTGAGTGTGCCTTGATACAGTTTGTTGTACGCCTCCCACTAAACTGGGATGCTGAATGACGTGGCAGTTACCTGAGCCCCCAGCACCGCACACACCTGGACACACACCTGTAGACCTGTCACTGCCAGACTATGTCAACAAATAGCCATTTAAAGGGTTCAGATCCTGAAAACAGTTAATGTTTTGTATGATATGTATGGTCAACACCGATGTTGGTTAAAAACAAACAAACAAACAAACAAAAAACACTATATACTAAAATATACTATTTTAATGGTAGTTTGCTTGACTCAGGCATTTTACTTTTTTAAGTGTGTAAGTGTGAGGTTTTTTATTTTATTTCAAAATCTGACACTTTTCAAAAGCAGCAATGCATCAGAATCAGTCTTGTTTCAAATTACTGATATATCCCAGACATCAATAATAAAAGAAATCCAGCTAGAAAGTACCTTTTTTTTTCTTCCAACATTTTTCATTCATTTCATTTCATTAATAACATAATCGTAGCATACTTTAAACAAAGTGACATTTAAATGATTAGAATTGGTGAATATTTAGTGCTTGTGATCACGACTAATGTGGAAAATATTATTAATATATAGCAGTTTATTGGCAGTTTGTTTGACAAGTAAGGTCCCCTATGTAACTTTTTTGACTTGATGCCTAAGGATTAACTTGTCATGTGGGTATCCTGGTTTGTTTGCATTATGCTTTTTTTCTTTGGTGAATTTTGTGTGTCTTGCTCTTTTGATTTAGATGAATTGTCAGAGTGACCACAACGCTCCAGTGAGGGTGCTGGTGACAGGAGGGTCCGGCTTAGTGGGGAGGGCCATACAGCATGTGGTCAGAGAAGAGGGTGGAGCCAAGGAGGGGGAAGAATGGATATTTCTCTCCTCCAAAGATGCCAACCTCATGTGAGAGCCACACCGTTTCTAAGGCCCGTACTATGACGCAAGTTAAACATGCTTAGGACTAGGTGATTAAACAATGGTGACATGAACTAGCAATAGACACTTTGTCAATGCAATAAGAAAACTGTTTCCTCAGAAGGCCCAGTAGTTTCACTTAAATGCATTAAATACAAACTGCTGTAAACACACATAACAAAAACATATGGTTTGGTTGCATAAACAAATCAAAAGCATGCTCCCTCCCTGGCTCAAACAACCTATTACACCTTGATGATACAGGCCTTCATTCTCCCCGTAGCTCCTGTGCAGGTTTTCTGAGTTGTGCTAGTCTACAGCCCCCAAATAGTTAAGTTAACACAAGGTTTCTGAGTCTAGAGTATGTACAAACAGAAGGGGCACTGTTGGCACCAGATGACCAATCACAAACATGAACAGGTCGAGAGCTGCATGTTTTAACTTTAAAATACAAACTATAATCCTTAAGTAATATTAGGAATTTATAAATATAGTACAGGCAGAAGGCAACACAGCCGCTGCAGCCAAAGCAGTGAGAAGAACTGGTAAAATCAAAAGAGAAATGCTGACTATAAATGCGTATAAGTTAATTTACTAATTAATGATGTCACTGCCCTATTATTAAAGTATGAGAAGATTTGACTAATTAGGCTACAGTTGTGTTTTCCAGTAAAATAATTGTTGTTTAGATGTCACCTATTCCTGTGGTGTGTTAGACAATTGTAACCTTATTCTTTCAGCTGCAGCCCTGGCAGTGTTTAACAGTCTTGGGAGTAAACAACAAATATAAAAACAGAATAATAAACCCCAAATCTTGCTTTGTCATACAGACCTCTAGATATTCTAATATGTTGACACATGTTTCTGTGAAAAAGCTTGAAAACAATTCAAAAACTGTCTCCATATTACTTAATCTGCTGGTGGGCTCTCTCCAGGAATGTGGACCAGACAAGGGCCATATTTGAGAAGCATCGACCCACGCACGTCATCCACCTGGCTGCTATGGTGGGAGGGCTTTTCAAGAACATGAAGTACAACCTGGACTTTTGGGTAGGAGGAAGTTGCTTTTCTGCTGAAAATCACAACATGTATTTGAAATGTGTTGAGAGTAGTTTTGATTTGTCATGATGATGCTCCTGATGTGCCTGTCCCCTCCAGAGGAACAATATCTACATCAATGATAATGTGCTGCAGGCAGCACATGACGTAGGCGTAGTCAAGGTGGTTTCCTGCCTATCGACCTGCATCTTTCCAGATAAAACAACCTATCCTATAGACGAGACCATGGTAAATAACTCCTGCCCATGCTCTGGATGTATACTGCATACAAATGACGTGCATATTGCATGTATTAATTTGTAAACAGTGACTTACCCTCGATTGTCTTTGTGCCAGATCCATAATGGTCCACCTCATGAGTCCAACTTTGGCTATGCCTATGCAAAGAGGATGATTGATGTTCATAACAGGTATGTGGACTCAGTTGTATACTACAAGTAGTTTTCTGGAAAAAAACGTACAATCAACTAAATTATTTGCTCCCAGAAATTCAACATGTTTGCTAAGTCATGTGTATGCTTCACAGAGCTTGTTTCCAGCAGCATGGGCACTGCTATACAGCTGTGATTCCCACTAATGTGTTTGGTCCTCATGACAACTTCAGCATTGAGGATGGTCATGTGCTGCCAGGCCTCATACATAAAGTGTACATTGCTCAAAGTAAGTCACAGTCTTACATGGGTAAGTTGCCATGCACAAATCCAGCTTTACTTCTCCTAATGATTTCATTCTAGATGAGCTGGTGGTAAAAATATGTGTATTGTGACTCCCAAGAGAGATACCAGCAAGCACAGATACAGAAGATAAGCAGGAGTGCTGGTACATGGATTTATTTAAATAATTGACTCTTCTGTGCATCTGCATGCTGTTTGTTGGTTAGAGGAGGGGAAACCCTTGGTGGTCTGGGGCTCTGGCACTCCTAGAAGGCAGTTCATTTACTCTTTGGACCTGGCTCGCCTCTTTCTCTGGGTCCTGAGGGAGTATCCAGAGGTTGATCCAATCATTCTCTCTGGTGAGTCCTCATATGCAGCATATGGTAATTGATAATGGCAGCTTTATTTTCAGTGATGAAATTTTTCAATGAAGACGTTGTGTCTGTTGGTTTCAGTTGGTGAGGAAGATGAAGTGTCCATCAAAGAAGCAGCAGATGCCGTTGTTGAGGCTTTGGGCTTTAAAGGAGAAGTAGTGGTATCCTTTTAACCATGCAAGTTGCCCACTTCTCTGAAATGGATTTAGCAGACAAATTACATATTGTTTATTTTGGGGAATGTTAAAGCACACTGCACACTTTAAGATTCATATCCTGCCTTCATTACACTTGTTTTAGAATGCGATGAAACTGAATCTTTACTGAACTGAAAATCGCCTAAAACAGATAATTTCATTATCCACAAGATTGGTAATGAATGATTGTTATTTTAGGTTGTAAGTCAATTAATAGAGGGCCTTTGGCAGCAACAAAGGCTGTGTGTTGGCTCAAGCAAACGACTGTTTGTAATTTAGGTTTCACAAAGTAGTAAAACTGAATTAATAAATAAAATGTAAGAGCACAGTCCTTAAACCTGTGTGAAGAAAGTTAATAACTCACTGGCGTGTTTGAAAGGCATGCTATCTTTAAAAAAAGATTGCAGAAATTCCCCCAACTGTAGAAACAGAATGAATCCTCTGATTTTCAACTTTTTTTTTTTGATTTTCAACTATCCAATGGTCCTTAAATGTATCATGTGTGTCTTAAGTATCAGAAATTGTAATTTGTAACAAAAGCACTTTATTCTATCTCATATCAAAAAAAAATGCAAAGAATAAACTGTTTCCAACAGATTCTGTAAAAAAAAAAAAAAAAAAATTCTGCTTTCCTCAGCGCAACCGAGTAGCTATAACTGACTCACCTTCTACCAGCAGTCACTAATGCAGCATGGCCCAAAAATGGTATACAGAGGAGCAAGTTGTCAGCGACTTGTTGAAAGATACATTAAACACAGTGAACTATCTTTCTAAATCACAGAAAACAATGTGTCCATAGGGAGTAATAATGCCCAGAACCTGCTTGGAACTTAGGATTTAATTTGGTTATATTGTTATTTGTCTGATTGTTTTCTTGTGGTTTCCTTGACTTTTGACTTACAGCATGACACCAGTAAAGCAGATGGCCAGTTCAAAAAGACAGCCAGCAATGCAAAGCTGCGCCGCTACCTGCCAGACTTCACATTCACACCATTCAAACAAGGTGGGACTGATTCAGTGGTTTTGTGTGTGTGTAAATTGGTCTTTGAATGCCATCAGTAGAGATGTTTGAAAGGATCACATCACTTCCTTTCTTAACTGATTCCTTTTGTTTTCACTTTCAGCTTTAAAGGAAACCTGTGACTGGTTTGTTGCCAACTACGATTCAGCACGGAAGTGAAAGTTCTGCTCAACAAGTTGACACCAGTTTGGTCAGACTGTCACCTGATCTGTCATCAGAGAAGCTGACAGAAGTGGAAGAAAACAGCTATCTGCAAAGACAGAAAGCAGCGAATGAAGTCTGTCAGTTTGACCCTCAGTGAGCACTGTAAATATCTCACTCTGACTGCAAGTCTGCAGCACCATACTGTATTAGTAATCAATGTTGATGAAGGCCTGTCTCTCTTTCGCTTTAAGGAATGGTCTGTAGTTGTAGGAAGTGTATTCTACTACCCATACGTAGAATTGGCAGAGCTTTATTCACTATGATAGTGTTAATCATTTAAACCCTTAATTGATCACTTCAGCATTGAAATCCAGGTGTTGGCACGACTTCCAGTTTCAGTGGTCAGCAAGCTGTCTCAAACCTTTTCCAACAGTTTCTAAGCATGTTCCTGAATGACCTTCTTTGTTGAAGGATTTTGGATTTGGAAGTTTAGACAACTTGGCAATTCACTTTCATGAACAGAAAGAAGACTTTTGTTATGTGCTGGTAGTTGAAAGTTGTTTTGTTTTGTTTTGTTTTGTTTTTTTAAGCAGTACATTGGCTCTGAGCAAGATAAATGTTTTATACCGGTAATCTGTCTCAAGTGTCCTGCCTGAATCTTGAAGAGCTGAGCCAAAGGTTGACAGTTTTATATCTTTGCAGCTATTCTATTTGACACCAAAACTTGGGTCCTCATTATGGACTACCAATCCTCTTCTGTTTAATACATACAGTCATACCAATGCACATTAGACAAAAGAAATAATTTATTTAAAAATGAGTAGTTAAAACAAGCAAATAAAAATTAGAAATACATTGAAAATGTCTACAAATGTAGCACTCATTTAGTGTTTGAGCAAAGCCAATGAAAACGATTCATTGTAGCTTGTGCAGAGAAGCAATTCCACCAAAGATAACCAAAAACAAACAAACGAAAAACAAACAAACAAGCAAAAAAACCAAAACAACAAAAGGATGAAATTGATCATTCAGAGTTGAATGTGGGAGGTGTGCCCCCCTTCATGGACTCTGCAGTACTCCTGTCCTGGCACGGCTCTCTTCTTGCAAGCTTTGCCAGTTTTTGTGATGCCACTGCACAGCTGACGGCCTGACACAGAGCTGCTGCACAAGAGAGAAAGATCATTTTGAATTTTTTATGACATGACGTGATTTTCTTGTTTAAGGTACGTAAGTGAAGTCAACGAGGTCTGAAACTCTGACCTGTTGCTGCCTAGTGACGGAGTGGGACTCGCGCTTCGTGAGTCGCTCAATAAATCATGAGAGTCATTCACTGCATCAAAAACACCTCCCAGGTTCCTCAGGGGGATATCATCAATCAGATCCTGAAAATAAGAATATGAAGTTTGTCATGGTTTGTATCGTATCGTTGTATCGTACTGAAAATGGGCAGCTGTAACTCAGGTGGTAGAGCAGGTTGTCCACTAATCGCAAGTTGGTGGTTTGATCCCCAGCCCCCCCACAGTTGAAGTTGGGCAAGACATTGAACCCAAAAAGTTGCTCCAAATGGCAGACCAGCACCTTGCATGGCAGCTCTGTCGCCTTTGGTGTGTGAATGTGATCTACTCTCAAATGTACGTCGCTTTGGATAAAAGCATCTGCTAAATGAAATTGTAAAATTGTATAATACCATAGTTGGATTTTGAGTGACGTGAACTTGATTTGCTCACCGCTGAAAGAAGCCTGAGAGTGGAGTGATTCGGTGTGCCCTTCATCGGCATAAACCTGGACTCCGGCATTATCTTCCTGTGAGGGGGAGACACTGCTGATATGCCAAGATCACCTGCTAGTAAAGACATTAGAGCAATGAGAAAGTCTAGTTGCGTGTCTCTTGTTCTTCCTTCTTTAAAGTAACTTATTCTCCTGTTAAGGTTATAGCACACATTTCTCACCTGATAAAATGCTGTCCTGGTTTAACAGGTCATCTGGCTCCATGATGCCGTACTTCTCATCTCTGAGGACAAAAGAATGAGGAAGATTACATGAGATAAAGCACTTAGTGACTGCATACATCTCACAAGTCGTGTGGCAACAGAAAATGGATTAATGGTCAATTTTAATTGCAAATGCCATGATCTGTTTCTTAATGAAGACATTTTCTGTTTCACGTCACTGTAATTGTAGCTTTTTTTTTTTACATTTGAAAGACAAATAAGTTGCAACCCTCATCGGGCAACGCAGTGTGAACATGAAGCACTGTGCAGACTCACTTCTGTGGTGTAGAGGACGGTGGATACAGGTGGCTTGACGACTTTTGCTGCTTCTGTGGCTCCACAATGGTACATGGAGCAAGTGGCAGGGGGGCAACTAGCTTTCCTCTGACATGGACGCATGCCCACAACTGACTCACAAACCAGTGACCTACACACACAAAATAACATTGTTACAAATTCATGACAATATTGGAAGCATTGCATTTGCCTTGTACACTGCTGTAAGTTTGTACCCAGAGACAGAATGAGCAGCAGCAGGCTGAGGCTGTTGAGATCCAGCGCTGGCTGCTGGTTGATCTCAGCTACTGCATTGAGGGGCACAGCGAGCAGCAGTATGGATCGAGAGAAACCCGGACAGTGCAGGAATGTCATCAAGACTGCACACAGTACAAAGTAGCCTGTGTGTGCAACACAAGTCCACATGGCTTTTAGACTCAGACCTGTAAAACAAGAAGCACAAGAGAAACAGTCTCTGATTTATGATGAAAAACTACATTTCATACTCGTGTTTTAAGGAGTTTTCACTGAGTGAAGGGTTCTGGGTACATTTACTCATCATAATTGACTTTATGACTTTGCTGCAAAATAATTATATTAACAGTATACAATGTTTATCAAAAGTTGTTTTTCTAATTATCATTACACACCAAACGTCCTAAAATCTTGTTATTCAGTTTTGGTTTGAAGAAAGAAAAATCTAAATGTCTTTTTTTCTTTCCCCCATGGCAGAGAAAAACTACACAACTATAAGTGGGTGTACATTGCACTGTGGGTCTCATGTCTCACCTGCCCAGCCAAGGTAGCCCTGAATCATGTGAAGCCTCTCCTCTATCCGGCTCTGCATGTTATCGAGGTAGTACAACATGCCTCCCAGGGTGCTGTTCATGCGCTCCAGTTTGTTCATCAGGTCATTGTAGTACTGGGACGTCTGGTCCTGGTACTGCAGAAACTCTGACATACTGTGGTCTGTTCAGCCACAGGTATAAGGAAGAGAACATTTCAAGCCAGCACTGATATTAACTGCAAATTTTAAGATGATGTGATGAATTTAGCCACTTACCAATTTTTTGGTAGATGTCCTGAGCTTGGTGTCTGACATCTGCAAGGTCCTGAACAATCGCCTTGTGGCTGTCCTGTACCTCTGAGCCTTGGATCTGAAGATGCTCGCTCACATTCTCTGAAAAAAAGAGGCCACAGTAATGGAAAAAAAGTGACAGTAGTAAAACAAAAACTTCTTTGAGTTCAGGTAACAAAAGTATTACTCAATCATGATGAAGGTATGCACTTTCTGTGTACACTTGGTTCTGTATACTGAATGCAACCAGGACCAAGTATACGTTCTGACTCAGACAGTTCCAGTATCGCATCTTAACAAGTACATAACCGCATGAAAGCTCTCACCCATTCTCTGAGTGATGCCTTGAATGAGCTGGGCTACCAGCTCCTGTCCAGATGCAATGAGGGCCTTCTCCTGACCCAGACGTTCTAGGTTGTCCTTCAATGAACCCTCCATTTGCTCCTGGCCCTCATACAGTTTTCCCTGTTGAGCCTGCAGGGCGCTGTGGCCCTCAAGCAGCTTGTCAAGTGAAGCTGCAGTCAGTTCCTTCAATTCCAACTGGCCCACCTAGTTTAAAACACCACCATCAGAGCCAAGTGAAGCAGGGCAGGAATTGAATCCTTACAGAAAATGCATATCATGAAAAGGAGAAAGAAAAGACAATTCTACCTTGAGGTCTTTCATTGCATCGAGCTGGCTGGTAGCTGTGGAGATGAGAGCGTTGACCGTGTGCTCCGCTCTGCGCCGAAAAAGCTGCTGGCGAGTTGCGTAGCAAACAGAGCGTGCTCTGTTGCTTACTATGTGGTAAGCATTCCATGTGTCTGAATCCATGTCTGCTGTGCACTCTTTTATAGTCTAAAACATAAAATTAAAGTTAACATAACTTCATAAACATTTTTAAAAAGTATCTTTTGGCAAAGGTGTACTGCTTTCCTTTCAGGATAACTTTATATTTTACCATGTCCTCTGTACATGGGTAGGTCCGCCTCCCCTCAATCTCTGCCTGGCAGTTAAACAGAACCACTCCAAGCTTTGCAAGCTTTTCCTCTGAGAGGCTTTCACAGCTCGACTTCAGCTGTGCGACCACCTATGAAGGAGTATAATGCTTTAATCAAAAGGTTAAAAACAAACCAGTGGAAGTGCATCAAGGACATGACAGTACTGAGAACTTGCCGGTTTTAAACTATGTGTTGTAGATTGCTGAAATGTCCAGTTTTATATAAAAAATATGCTATGCAGCACGGGTTTTCTACCTTTTCCAGATTGCAGTGACACATTTTTGTTGACAAAATTCTACATTTACAGCTATCTCCATCTGTGTAACTAGGATGACAAACAGAATTTCAAAATGCACATGCTCATATTTACTCTGTAGTGACAGCTGTCTAAGGGACTAAGCTGCATCTGCTTTGCCTCTGCCAGAAACTTCTCATCTGCGGTCGTCATCTCAAACTGAGCATCTTTTGCAAGAACTGCTGGAACTTCTGGTGCAGGTGAAGGAGGAGCTGCTGCAGATGGAGCCTCGGTGTGCCTCAACCACTCAAACAGCCCGCTGACTGCAGGACAGTGACAGGCCAGGATGCTGAACATCAGCAGGAGGTGCAGGCGGTGGATCAGCAGACAGCCCATGTCTGGATCAGAACACAAAACATGCAAGCTGACTCAGCTGAAATACAAGCTAAACATTTTCCCATCATTCAAGTGGTCCTGTTGATGGATTTGTTGTAACTCTGTTCGGATGTGTTGAGTTGAGTTTAAGGTTAATGTCTGACATTTTATTTCAGATGTGCTTTCTCTTTCTATTAGGGCTTTTTTGCATGTCATTAATAGTATTTTAACCAGACCTCGGTGACAAATCAGTCTCTTTGAAATTTTGGAAATGCTAGTCTTTGTCCTGCACACCTGTCTGATGGAAGGGATCTGTGAAAAGTTCCTTTGTCTTTGTCTGAACTTAAAAATGACTAAGATCAAAGGCTGCCACTAGATGGCGACATCACGCAATCAGCGCACTTAAGTTTAAATCAATGAAAACGTATATGCGGCATTTAGAATCAGACGTGTACTGATTTGCAGTCTGCCTGCCCACCTGCGCTGCTGTAGATATTGTCTGCAAGACACAAAAATAAAAACTTCATTCATGTATTAGTATGTTTGAATTTAGACCACACTGAGGCTTGCCCGGGCATGTCTGCACTGCTTTGCTCATGAGCGCTGCTGAAGACCTGCAGAGCATCGTTACGCACGACAGAAATATTTTAATAGCAGTTAAAAAGCGGTCAAATAAATTTAAAACAAACTAATTCACACATTTTTCTACAGTTTAGCATTATCACAAACCAGCAGAACGTCAAACAAGGACGTTCACACCACATTTAACTGATTTCTACATCACAGTCAAAATACTCAGTTCCAATTTGTTACAGCAACAGATATGAATTAAATATCTGAGAATAAGTATGCATAACACTGTAAATCCACCAGAGTAGCTGAACAAACAGCAGCATTTCTAGAACACGTACCTGTAGTTGAACTCTGCAGGCTGGTTCTGGACACTGCGGGTCTCCCTCTCACAGCTGGCTGGAATGACAGCTAAATTGTTGTCCTCGCCTCTGCTCAGCACGCAGCCAATGGCATTACTCGCATTTTTAAAGGGCGGACTTGGAGTGCGTTCGATTTAAGCCACCGCGTAGACGGGAAAATACATTGAAAAACATACCCGGAATGTGTCCCCGAGGATGCTGAAGGCGCCGCCTGCCTGGAGGAGCAGAACAGAAAAAAACAAACGAACCGGCAGCGTGGTTTGTGGACGCTCCTGGTCTGTCTGACGTGCATGACAGTTAATGTTAAACTACAGTTTGTGGTTTGCTAAACGTGGGACAACAGAAAATCTGACAAACATCAGGTGAATAAATCTTTTCTCGCCTGCGTTAGCCGCAGTTATTCACAGTAGCGACTCACGTCGTCTCTCTGTCACTCCGTGTTACTTTATGGTTGTCCAATCAACAAGTAACACGTGCATTGTATTTCTAATCTAATCGGTCCTGGATTATTTTCTAGCTATCCCTAGCTAGATGCAGTTAGGGGCTCGTCTGAGCCAAATTGATTTTTTTGTGTAGATGATTTTAACATTTTATTGGCGCGCCTTTCACGACCTGTAGGCTAAATACTGCTAAAAATTTAAGCTAGGAACCACACAGCTCTGCCGCAGCAGACATGCTAATTAGCAACCTAGCAGTGTGAACATTATACCGTGGGCTAACGCTCATTAGCCAAGGAGCTAACCTGCCGCTACAATGGACGACTCTGGTATTAAGAAGCAGAACTGGGATGTGAAGGAGACGGAATTATTTCTGGAAATTCTCAAGGAGCTGGACATGAAGAAGTGCTTAGACGGGAGGAAAGTAAGGAATAATAGACTATTCAAAGTGGCACACAGGAGGATGACAGCGGCCGGCTATCACAGATCTGTGGACCAGTTAAAGTTTCGCTGGAAACTTCTCAAAAGTGCGTACTATAAGTGCAAACGTGAGCCTAACTCCCCGGCCCCGACTAAAATACAGGGCTGGTGGCGTTATGAAAAGACAATGATTGCGATCATGGAGTCCAGACACCCTCTGGTCGGAGCTGGTGTCAACTCTGAGAGGAACGATGAGGTGACGGAGGACTCGGATGGTGAAGCATCAATGCTGCACTGGCCGCAGCCCTGCCCCGACAATACCACTCAGAACCTGGATTTAATTGTAGGGCTGAACCCATGGAGGCGATGTAGTCTGTCATTAGATCATAATCGTGATTTAATTTCTTTTATGTGTTGTCGAGATGCATGTGGCTATTAGGGTTGCACGATATTAGATAAAAATTGCGATATGAAAACATTTTCGGCAGATGACTTGAATAATTTCATTTGGAAGGAGTTCTGAAATGATAAGGGACATTTTGTAGTTTGCGTGCATTTGCATAGAAAATAAAAATATGTTTTTAAAAAAGATGACAAAATGCTGTTTGGAGCCTTTCTCGTATGGTATAACACTGGATAGGACGTTTAAAATAGTTTTTGACTTGGATGGAATTTAGATTTGGCTCTCTTTGTGGTGCTGATGTCAGTGGTCAGACATGTAGCCGTGTTGCCTCCTGTGGTGGTGACAATTGCAAGACAGTGCTGATAGAGTTCCCTTAATTTGGTAAACAGCATTCTTTCTGGTGGCAAAATGTTTCCATAAACCAAAGTTCTGTTTCTTTTCTGCAACCAGATTTTCTCTCCAGTTCCTAGCTCATTGTGCTGTGCACACACGGAAGCTGCATGTCAACAAACAGTATCTTAAAAAATACAAAAAAACTGGGTGACTCCAGGAATGCTTAAGTCAAAGCAAATGATACTCTATTAGAAAGACTTCTCTCGAACCTCTTTTGAATACAAAATGAGAACTTTGCTACTTGTCATTCGTATCAGGCAGCAAAAAGAGATTGTAGCATGATATGTTTTATATAACTTTCCTTAATTCACATTGCACTTCTTGCACTGTGACTGTTGCAGATATGCACGTAGTGATGTTGATGCTGAAATGACTTATTGTGCAGCCCCAGTGCCTATTGTAATTATGCATCTGCCTTCTGTGTACACTCATTTACTAGCTGTGTATCTCTCGAAAACCAATGCAGCATAAAGTTGTACAATAAGCTTCATGAAGGTTGTAATGTCCGGTCTTTGATCAAACTGATCTCAAGATGGTAATTCAACTGTGAGGTGATTTTGGAGGTGTTTGACAGTTTTCAGAATGCTTGTAATATATCTCACACTAATGTTGCAGAGTAACACAATACAGTTTTACCTAAATCTATACTTATACATTTAGTCTCATCAGTTTCACAGCAGCCAACTGTACACAATAAAAAAGTACAATATAAGCATAGACAGATTCACAACACAAATACATTGCTACTACGTTAAAGTGGCATTTAAAATATTTGATTTTAAAGTGAGTTTTAAGTTATTCAAAAGAAATGGAAGTTCACAGCACTGTAAACTCCAAATGGATCTTTTTATTTGATCAGCATAGTTTCAACTTAAAACTGAACATTAAAACCTTAACGTGGAAGGATCATTTGGAGGGCTTTTTGTGTAAAAGATTGCATTATTTTTAAAAAGCTTTAAGGAGTCTCTAGAAGGAGTGTAATAAATGACACTGCTTTCAATTAGAGGGGATCTATTATGCTTTTCCTCATCTTCTTTTGTATAATTAATGTTAAGATGTCGCTTGTTCATATTCAACACAGCCAGAGTTTCAATAATGAGATACAAGTAATCCGTGAGAAAAAAAATCAGGCATGAAACTGCTCTGAATGCCACATTTCTAAGGGTTTTTTCTACTTTGGTGATGAACTAAAGTCCCGTCGTCAAAGATTTCTTGATTTGGTCATCTTCTCTGGGCACGGCAGGCCCACAGACTCAAACAATGGTCTTTTACGTTACTGTATGTATATGGTCTCATCAAAACAGTTTACTTGGATAGTATTCTAGACATTTATTGTGCCCTAGCAGAAAAATAAGTGATGGTGCAGGGACATAGTATACAGTAGTTTGATGACAGCAGGATAACATGTTACTAGCTTTTACTAACTACATTTTCTACTTCATTAACAGGGCATATAGAGAAACATTTTTATATACGGCTTGAGATTAAAAGAGTAAATCCACCTTTATGTCACATGATAACAGATTCCTGCTCAAACATGTACAGATGCATTTTAAGAGGTACTATTTCTAATAAACAACGTGACATTATGATGGTTTTGCTTTCTAAGCTTTCATGCTGGCAGGATGAGGTGGTGCTAACAAGAAAAGACTTCTGCAAAACCTTCCAATAAAACGAAAATCGGCTTTTTGGGAGGGGGACCTTCAAGAACTTGCTGCTAAAACTGCTTGTTTTAGGCACTGAATGAACTGAGGGGCTACATAAAGGGCCTGTATGTAATAAATAAGGATTTTTTTGAACTGTGAATCATGCAGAGCTACTATAGTAGAGTCCCAGAATAATAACATAGAGATGGAAATGAGTACAACTGGCTCCCTTTAATATTTTTGTGTCTCTTTAGCTTTGCAGTGTATCTCTTTTGCTTAATCTGCCATCTGTTTTTCATTGTTCAGTTTGTAAAATGTGAAAATAACAGTGCCAATCACAGATTTCTAGGGCCATGGCAACTTTTTAAAATGTCTTATTCTGTCTCTCCAAAACCAACAATATTAAATGTACAGTCATAGAAGCTACTTTTTGAAACATCATCAGGATACGAGGAGGAAGAAATCAGATTTACTGTCACACCAAATGATTTCTTTGTTGCAGATCCAGCTTTTTTGACCCTATAAATTTAGAACTGGGTTAGAGATGCTATTTCACGATGAAAAGACTAAGGGCAGGAAACTAGGCTGTGGCAGTGGTTATGAGGGAGGGGGAGAAATCAGATTACTGAGCAGTTGTCAGCCAGGGTTTACCATGCAAACTTATTTCTTGCCTTAATCAGATTTCTTCGGTAATCAGGTTTTTGTATGCATGTGAACAAAGCTGACGGTGGCAATTCATCTGTCTGTTGCTATGCGGTGGTGATACACCTACACAAATTACTCCATTGATATCATAAATGAGAAAGAAAACTATGAAAAGTTTTTTTTCGGAGAACCTGTAACCAGGAAAGTCCACATTTTTGCATGAAAAATAACAACGGCAGAATCACAAATTGTGATGTGTATATGTAATAGTGTGTGATACCATTGTTACTGTAGAAGATGTGTTATGATCGTACAGTGTCGTTAGTTGTCCTGTGAGTAACATCCCTAGTTTTTAGGTAATTGTGAGGCCTTGATGTTGTATTTTGTTGACGTTTCTGCTCTTATCAGTCCTCTGCTTTTGTTTCAGATCAAAATGGACCCTGAAATGGACTCGCAGCTGAAGATTGGCTTTATCGGTGCAGGTAACATGGCTTTCGGCATCGCAAAGGGCATCTTGTCTGGTGAGTTCAGAAAAAGTTGCTGAAACAGGGGAGTCAGAGTGAAGGTGTCAGTGGTCTTACTTGATGTTCTCATTGCAGGAAGTGTTCTTCCTGTAAACGTCAAAGTGAGCGCACCGTCCTCCAGGAATCTGGGACGCTTTCAGGTACTTTATTTCCTCTTTTTTACTTTCCCCTCAGTTCTCAATCAGGTTGATTAGTTTACAGGACAGCGAGCAGGCATGGAGAGGATCATGGGTACTGACTGTAAGATCAGGTTACTTGTGAATGCATTAATACTGACTGTCCTCTGTTGCTGGGGATTCCTGCAGGTGTCAAGTTCTTGCAGGTGTCAAGTAGATATGTGCATGCAGTAAATTAATGTATTTTTAGATTAGTAACACCTGAGCAGGAATTGGTAATTTATGTTCTCAAATTTGGATGTTGCTTCCATGGCTTAACAAAACAAAACTGTTAACCAATAAAATATATTTATTGAATGTCAGAATTTAGCTAATTTAAAACATATTCTACAACTCTTCTTTCATAATCATGCTTTTCGTGTCACAGTTTTTGTCTATCCTCCTTTGTGAGCGTATTGTCTGAAGTTGTTTTCGGTTTCATAGATAACCTTATACACAAACCCACACAGTCATCCATTTTTTCAGAAATGTTATTCACAACGTACCAATGTCCTTAGCTGATACAAAAACTGCAAGAAAAATATTCATGACCATAAATCCAGATTTTGCCATTAAATTTATCCATTTACATTCTTTTCTAATAAATAATTTAAAAATAGATACATATTTGTAATAATGTCACGAGACCAGATCAAGCTTCTGCAAAGTGATGTCTTTAATAATTTTGTCATCTATTTTTACGCAAAGTCCATACCGTTTCATGATGCAGTAACTATCAAAATACACAACTGAATTTAGCCTTTTCAATGATTCTAATTGTTTCTCCGGGTCATCTTTTGATCTTCAACATAGGACTGATATTGCATCCCACTTTGAATAAAAAAAATCAACACAAAATAATGGATTTGCTTTTCTTTGCAATGATTCAAGAGTTGTGGTAAAAAAGACGAGCACGGGTCCCCTTGGCTGTGAGTAGACAGTGATAATCCTTGACTCTGGGGGGTCGTGGGCTCCTCTTGGAGCCTTATGTTTGGGGTGGGGGGCAAACATTTGCCTGGTTTGCTGCCTCTGCAAGCAGATTGCTGTATGAGAACACTTCAGTGAATAAAATAACATTTATTTCTGTTTGGCACTAAGCATCCCCTATTTTTCCCAAATTCTGAATTATACAATAGTCTACCATCATAGTTTTGATGTTTCCAGACAGTCTCATATACAAACAAATGATAAAGAATAAAAGGTGCCTCTGCTCTTTCTTCATAGGTGCTAATATAAAAAACAATCTCTAAGTATATCATATCAAATGATTAAAGATCTGGATAACTTAGACTGTCCTGGGGAAACAAAACAAACAAAATAAAAACATGCACTTGGTTTGTCCTTACATGAGCAAGATAAGAGCTAAAAAGAAGGTATAGAATTATCCTGGAAATAGCCTAGGGCTCATGGGGTAATGAATAAAAACGCTGAATATCTTTTAAGTATAAATTAGCAAATTCTATATTATTTTAACCCACCACTGAGACTACTTTTTCAATACAATTTAATCAAAGCAACATCCATCACTTACTGTTACATTTGTTAGTAAACTGAAAACATCTCTCTAAGAACTATCAACAAAATCATTGGAATTGAAGACTAATACAATTTTCACTATAATAGAGCGTTGTGCACTGGATAAGAGATGTGCAACTTGGATGAATTTTAATGGACCTGCATTGAAGCCCATGCTGCTCTGTGACTTGCGGTGTGTTGCATGCTCAAAGTAAGGAAAAGAGTTGTCATGACTTTGACTTGAGTTGTCGTGTCCGCCATGTTTCACTGGTGAAGCCAAATTATATGTTGATGTTTCAAAAAATAAAACTTTTTTTTTGGGCTGTAACCACCAATGATCTTATAATTATTTTAGTTTATTTTGTCTACTAATTGGCATGAGATTGGTTGTTTTACTACTCACAGAAAAGCAGCATTGTTTCGTGTTTTTGCTTTAATATGCTAAATATATCATAATTCATTTTGTGTGTACTTGTTTAAGAGCTGGTAAATGCAGGTGTATAATAGTTCTAACTCTTGCTTTCAGGAGCTTGGCATTGCTGTAACTCACTCCAACATAGAAGTGGTGTGTGGGTCAGATGTGGTCTTTGTTTCAGTCAAACCTCACCTGGTTCCACCAGTTCTCAATGAAATCTCACAACATGTCACTGACAGACACATTATAGTGTCTGTTGCAGCAGGAGTGACACTGGCTACGTTAGAAGAGGTGAGAGCCCCAGTCAGTATGTAATGGCTTTAAACTAAATGCTGGCTTGTTCATGGTGAAAAGATCATGTTTTTTTGTTTGTTTATTTTTTTTTTTAAAAATGTATCTTTCTGTGTTTTAATGTCAAGCTCCTGCCAGAGAACTCAGTTACCATCCGGCTGATGCCAAATCTACCATGTGTGGTTCAGGAGGGGGCTCTACTGTTTGCGCGGGGGTCCCATGCGAAACAGGAGGATGGTGCTTTGCTTCGCTCCTTGTTGCATCACTGTGGTTTGGTGGAGGAGGGACCTGAGGCCTGGATTGACATCCACACTGGACTGAGTGGGAGCGGAGTCGCTTTTGTGAGTGTCCTAGGATTGTATGATTTTATTTATTTTGTTAGAAGTCTTTGAAACCTCCCGCAAACTATTGTAAGAGGACTTCCTTAAAACAACTGTACAATTTATTGTCATTCAAGCAAGCCATTTGAATGAGTGAAAATAATTTTATGTGAAGGATCATTTCATCTCATTTACAATTTACATTCCAGCTAACCATTTTTTTTAAAGCATGCTGTAGTGTCTGAGATTGTTAATTCAGCAAGTTGCTTTTGGTACGAGCAATGAACCGCTACTCTCATCTTTGTTGAGTTATTGATAATAAGTGGTAATGCTTCATTAAGCAGCCTGATGTAATCATTGTTTACAACCACAAGAGGCTGTCACTAAACATTGCCAGAGCTCCAACAAAAACCCTCCAAAAATGATTGTTTCGAGTTTCACTGTTCTTGAAAAGTCATCTTAAACCACTGAGTATAGTGTACACGCTCAAGTAAATCCCCCAAGACTGTCTTCTTCATTTATTTAACTAAGACTTGTGCAGAATACAAAAATAATCTGATAAACATAATAGACAAAGTATACATGGTCAAAGACATACAGTATCTTTTAAACAGAGATTATTGCACTGGCTATTTCTTCACAAAAGTAATACAGACCCAGTCAACATTTAAAAAAAAAATGCAAAAAACAAGAAAACAAAATCTGAACTCTTTTCATTTCATTTGGTATATTTGGGGTATTTTATGCCTCTTGCCAGAAGACTTTCTGTAGACAGATAGGAGAGGAAATAAGGGGAGTAAGAGACACACAATGACATAGCAAAGGGTCACAACTAGACACAAACCGAGCCTAAATCTTATCTGTAAGCATATTTCTGCTTTGCATGGATGGCCCTTACAGTGGTGTACACTGTAATGCCATTCTAGAAGACATTACAGGCTCACGCAGTCAGGTCCATAAGTACTTGGACAGTGATACAAATTTTGTAATTTTGTCTCTGCTAACCACCACAATTAATTTGAAACAAATCAATCAAGCTGTGATTACAGTGTAGACTTCTAGCTTTAAATCAAGGGGTTTAACAAATTTTTGCAAAAACCATTCAGAAATTACAGCCTTTTTTTTTTTTTTTTACATAGTCCGTATCATCCAAAGTAATTTAACATAATTACAAATGTAGGGATTATTTTAATACTAATCAAATCAAATCAAGTTTATTGTCATTTTGCTGTACATACACAGTAGTACAGGCAAAAGGAGAGAGTGTTTCTTCAAGATCCAATTACTTAAAGAAGTGTTTGCATATCTGGATCAGCAGTTCAGCATTCTGACAGCTTGTGGAATGAAGTTGTTGATCATTCTGGAGGTTATCCTTTAATACTCCAGAAACGTTTCCCTGATGGCAGTAGTTCAAGCAGTTTATGGAGAGGGTGTGAGGAGTCCCTGACAATGTTCAGCGTCCTGCTCCCGCAGCGGGTCTGGAAAGGTTTTTGGACGGAGGTGACGGAAAGTCTGATGACCCTCTCCGCTCCTCTAACTACTACTACTACTACTACTACTACTACTACTACCACTACTACTACTACTACTACTACTACTACTACTACTACTACTACTACTACTACTACTAATAATAATAATAGTAATAATAATCATAAGACCAATAGTTCAGCTGATGACTGGCAGAAGTCTGGAACCGTATTTGCATCACCAAAGCTTCTTCCTCTATGATGCTTTTGCCAGATCTTTACAGCAGGCACCGTCAGTGGCTGCAAAAGCAGCTCAGATGGGTTGAGGTCAGTTGAGTGACTCAGCTGTTTAACAGTGTTTCATTTTTTTGCCTTAAGAAGCTCTTCAGTTTCCTTTGCATTATCTTTTGGGTCTTTATCCATGTGGACTGTGATAGACAGCCCTATCAGGTCTGTCGCATTTGAGTGAATCTGAGCAGAAATCATCCGTCACATCATCAATAAACACCAGTGACCCTATTTCAGCCATACCACTACTTCCTCCATGTTTGACAGATGATTTGATCTGTCTTGGCTCATGAGGTCTTCCTTTTCTTTTCCATAGTCTTCCCATCATTTTGATACAAGTTTATCTGGGTGGCAAAGAATCGTGTTCCAGAACTGGGTAGCTGTTTTAGATGTTATTTAGCAAAGCCTAATCTGGCTTCTCTGTACCTGAGTGTTACCAGTGGTTTGCGTCATGAGATAAACCTTCTGTATGTTCCAGATATTTTGTTTTATTTATTTTTTACATCTCTGTCACAGGTCTGTTTTGTTTTGTCGGCCAAACAATGACCTCCCCACCTTGCTTCAGCACCTCTTTGGACCCGGTATTGAGAGTTCCTAATGATTCAAAACTTGGAACTAACTCCAGACCTTTAATCTCCGTAATTTGTCACAAAGTAATGACAAAACAGGCCACACCTGAACATGAAACTGCCTACCATTCAATTGTTAAATTATTATCAAGCCTGTGATAATCAAGGAATGACATTTAAAAATTGGCTGTAATTCCTAAATACTTAATATTTTTAGCCCCTTGTGTGAAAGCTGAAAGAAAACACTTGGGTCACATCTTGATTGCCCGCTCTACAGGCACTATATAAGTGCAGACCATTTACCACTGCTTCATTTCAAATCCATATATTGTGTGAGTGTCCAAATACTTGTGTGCTGTACTATGTGACAGTATGGTATGATAAACAATGAAACAATAATGCTTAAGACATTTATTTTTTAGTAATAAAATGGTTAAAGATAGTCTTTTATTAACCCCACTGCAGGGAAATTTGCAGTGTTACAACAGCAATACAGAAAAATGTAGGGATATAAGGAAAATAAATACATGTAAGTACACAATATAAGAACAGCAATAAGTTCTTCAATACTTAGAAACAAACTGATGTGAGAAAAATATTGATACAGAGTCATCTCTCCTATCAGAACCCCCACATTGTATATTTTTTAATTGAGCAGTACAAAACTGGACTTTGTTCGTCTTTTATTCTGAAACATGTGATTGTTTTCTGCAGGTTTACCTTTTTGCTGAAGCGCTGGCAGAAGGAGCTGTTAAAATGGGCATGCCCAGTGCTCTAGCCCACAGCATCGCATCTCAGACTGTTCTGGTCAGTTTTACACTGTGTGCACTTCAGTTTCACAATAGTTATCCTAAAAATATTGTATTTTCATTGGAGTTCTAAGACATCAGCATGAAAACACAATCTTTGAACCGTTTATTTTGCTGCCATGTGTTGCAGGGTGCTGGGAGATTATTACGGGATTCTGGGAAGCATCCTGCTCAGCTTCGCTCTGAGGTCTGCACTCCAGGAGGAACTACAATCTATGGGCTTCACACGCTGGAACAAGGCGGCGTAAGGGCTTCGACCATGAGCGCTGTGGAGTCTGCCACAGACAGAGCCAGGGAGCTTGGCCGAAAGTCAGCCGCAGGGAGCAGGAAATGATGGCTGCTATTTGCCTTTTAAGAACTACTCATCAGACATTAACTTGAGAAAGGCCTAACAAAAAACTGACTATTTTGCTCAATGTCACAATGGAACACAAGAACAAAAAAAAGGACTTGTCACAACTTTATTCCACTCCATGATTTTTCACAAATAAGTGCGGTACTTGTTTTTTGTGTTTGACCAGAACAATTTGATGTTGGCAAGAAACAAATATTGGCTTAACATTGACACTGATGAATAAATAATGTTATCATGACATGTGATCTACTGTTGGGAGAGAATGACTGTTTTTACATGCACACCAGTAATCCTGTCTTTTGGGATAAAGGCAGTAATGAAACTAAGGCAGAGCCCTAATTTATGATGCCAGTAGTTGTGGATGTTACAATCACAATAGAATGCACAGTACTACCATTTTAGTCACATTTACGGAGGCTGTGTTGTTCTTAAAGAGACTTCAGGCATTATTCAGACCAGACACGTCCTTAGTATTGGTCAGCAGTCTGAAGAGTGTCTGAGGCACAAAAATCTGTGATGGGTAGATAAAGTAGCATGTTTCAGATCAGTCTTCGCTGACCAATACTAAGGACTTTCATTTATAAGAAGTCAGAGAGTCAATATTTTGTCTTTAAAGGCCACTGGCGGTATCCTCGAAGAGCATCTTATTTTATTTTCTAAACTACCAGCACTGTTTCTTGACAAACTTCCTATTATTTTTTTTATTATTCCTACAATCTACTGTAGCATGAATCCACCCAAAAAGCATCTCACATAAGATTCTTTACTGATGTACTGCCTTACTGGTCTTGATGGGATTATCATGTGCAATCAGTGCAGAGTATAGAATGGAAGTTTATTGTGTGGATGTATTTATTGATTAAAATAATTATTACATCATAGTGTAAGACTTCTGGCCAAATGATTGGTAATAAGATCTCTTTGCATTATTGTTTTGTTTGAATGAAGTTGAGACCTTAAAATCAGCCATCACCCAGCTTTCAGAAGCACAGATTCTTCATGCCTGATCAACTAGATTTTTGACCTTACGACAGCAAAGATTAAGAATTAGTCAATTAACAGACAATAATTGTGACTTGTTAACTGGCACTGAAGTCATGAGCAATGGCAACTAAAAGTTCACATTTAAAAAGAAAAGAATCTTATTAATGATTATTATTATCAATGGAGTCTAATTGGTTTTTGTTTTAACAGTAAATTATTGACCAAAAGTCTTCCTAATCTGCCAGTGCAGTATCAGCTTGGTAATGAGTCTAACAACAGAAGGACGAGTACAGTGTGTTGTAACCAGTAAAAGCTTGTTATAAAGGGACAAAGGTTGGAAATAATGAAACTGGTGCTTTAAAATAAAATTTGATCCAAATCTGATGGCTTTCAAGGCTTCTGTGTTGTAAATTGCAGTGAAGGTCACATTTATCCACATTTTAATATGTCGGCGGTACACGGGGTTCAACAGAGGACATGAGGCAACATTAGTGATTCATAACTCCCCTCCCCCATCCTCAGAGATCACACAACCAGCGCTGCTCCCTCCTTCCTCCTCCTCCTCCTCTTCTTCCTCCTTCCCGGTGTCACTCACGGCTGGAGAAACACGCGTTTTATCCACCGGCCTGCACTTACACCGACAAGACACACAAACGCAGCAGTAAGTAACGCTTAACGCTGGCTGACAGGCAGAGTTTCAGTGTGCTGGATTAGTGTTGGGATTTGTTTAATAGACATTTCAGGAAATGAATGAAAAATCAGCGGTTTCCAAAGAGCAGCGGCTCTTGCTAGCCGAGGCTAACACACGGCTAGCCTGCTAACGCCGCCCGTAGTGGCTGTCACGCCTGCAGGATACCGGCTTCAATGGCCGCCCCTGATTTTTGACTTCTACGGAAATGTCATTTATTATCTGATTCTTTATTGTCACGTTTAAAACAAGTAGCGTTACATTGGTACCCCAAGAAATGCTAACCGCATATGATGAAAAACGGCTAGTGTTGAGGTTAGCAGGGCGCACCTTTACATGATGACAGCTCAGGAGGCTCTGGGCTCCTTTCATTTGCTGTTCAGCATCTGGCTCGACAGCTTTTCTCCAGGACATTACACACATTTGAGCTCTGTCACAAGTCCTTTTTATCTCCGTGAAAATGGGCTTTTAATTACAGATTTGAGCAGAATGGTGTCTTGGTGCTGGTTAAAAAAAATCTCTTGAATCTTGATATATGAAGTAAAAAGTAGTAATAAGAACAGTTCAGTTTAAAAATAGAAGAAGTTGAGAATCAAAGGTAAGGTTATCTCTGTTCCCTCCACCCATGCTAAACCTTGTAACGAAGATAAACTGGTAGACAGGTATCAATGGAAGAAAACATTGTTTTAACTGTACAAACCACCACTATTCACAGATACTACACTGACAACAACGTGTGTGTAAAGCCACACGGTGCTGAATGATTTGAGAAAACGATCTAACTGACAGACATTAAGATTGAAAATCCAATATGGTCATTTGATGTTAAGATTCATTTCAGTGTTTACTGTGTAATAGATTTAAAATGTCTGATGGAGCATTACCACATGACACACCATCTAAAGCACGACCCGTTTAAATGAGTAAAACCACTGATACAACAGTCTAGCAATAATTCAGTTTGGTCCATAGAAAGTCAGACAATTGTGAAAAATGTTTATTAGTGTTTTCCAAAGCCAAAGATGACATCCTCAAATGTCTTATTCAGTCCACAAGCAAACAATATTCAATTTATAGTTAAAAAAGAGAAAATAAACAGTGTTCACATTTAAGAAACTGAAATCGGATATATATTTTTTTTTCTTCTAAAAATATTACTCTAAACAATTAACTGATTATCAAAATTGTTGGTGATTAATTCAACAGTTGATATCAACTGATAAGTTGTTGAAGCTATAGTTTAAACTCTTGGCCAGCTGTGCTGCAAAATATACGAGGTGTGACTATTAAATAACTGGACTGGCCTTATGTTAGTCGAACCACAGCACATGTGCCTAAACCACTCAGTATACATTGATCAAGGTGCAGCATAAACAACCCCAAAGTTTGAATTTGCTTGAATTAAACAAAACTAAACTCCAGCATTAATTGGGTCATTATTTAATAGCCACACCTTGGAATAGCCTCTTAAATAGACAGACCAAAACCAGCAACGCTCCAACTAATAAGTATTGGCCAAAGTCTAGTATATAATATATGTCTCACTTTCAAACACAGTAGTTTATTTTGAGTTGATCCTGTATCTACCGCCTGGTGCCAGACATACTAGAGCATCAAATCTGCTGCTAAAAATAGCCCCCAACAAATGCAGTATTCACTTATATGTAAATAATGTTTACTAAAAGCCATAGTGCCTGGCTGGTATAAGAAATTATTGGGTTTTGTGTGTGTATCTATGTGTGTACCTACGTGTGTGTATCTGTGACCCATTTTAATCATTCATATATTTAGAAGGAACGATGTGCTAGGTTCTAACAAATACTGAGTATCACTACTGTTATTTTTTTAAGTACATGATGTTTGAATTACTTCAGTGGCAGTCAGTAGAGTTGCTTGAAGAAGTGTGTCTACTAAAAGCTCCTTCAGAGGACTCATCCTTTCCTCCATAAATCGTTGTCCTCTGTGACCTAGAAATTGAGACGTCTCTCATAAACTTGCCATCATAACAGTGGAAACAAGAGTAGGCACAGCAATTTAGCCGAGCCTGCTGCTCTGTGAGAGCATCTACAAAATGTGGCAAAGTAAACAACACATAAACTGCATGCATAATGTTTGGTTTCACTCAGAATCACCATTCAAAAGTACTGTTTTCTACACGGTAACCTGTCTAATTTGCTTGATTTATTAATTGGATAGCGTTTTGGAAGGTGTGCTTGAACAGTGATCGTCCATTTTTGATGATGGTGAGGAAAATAAACTGTCCCTGGTGCCTTCCATTTGAAGTGGGAGGAAAGCAGATGAAGGGGGGAAAAAGGCTTTGGGATGCATCCAAGGTGGTGCTTGATGAAGCCTCAGATTTTAGTTAATAACAGTGAAAGCATTTTCCATATTCATCATCATCCAAAACCAAAAGGGGACCTATGTTAAGTCTGTAAGGAGGTTAACTTTCATGTTGACTTATTGTTATAGAGAAATGACACGTAGCTTTTTTCCTTCCATCTTGCATTCAGAATTTGACAAGTGAGTATTCCTTGTAACATTAACATGAACCATGGTTGAGTTTTGTGTTGCTGTTTTATGTAGTGATGTACCCTGTGTCGGTGAAATTTATTTTGCAAGATGGTGATTGTTAAATTTCTTTTTCAATGGCTTGCGGGTAACTGGATGAAAAGAACATTTTGAGCATTTGAGTTTGATACTAGATTGAGCTCAACGCCTTTAGCGAGGAAGGTGAGTTAAGAACTTGAATAAGTATTCTAATAAATGTCAAGCAGGAAATGACTTTCCCAAACAGTGGACAAACCAACTGTTTTAGCTGTGAATTATGTGTTGGATCAATTTAACTAACCTCTAAATGATGAGGCATTAAGGGAATGCATTTACTGTATTACAGCCGATTACTGTAACACCAAAACAGCATGGCTTGCTAGAAGTGTTATTTGTTCAGAGCAAAGACTCAACACCTACTGCATTAACAGGGTTTTTCCTGGCTCAGAGTGGGCCTTTGTGGGTGGAGTACACACCATGGCGAGAACAATGGGTGTGTACAGCAAAGGCAATGAATCTGTGTTACCTTACTTGACAGAAATCTGTGCATTGACTTATTTCTGGCCATTTGATAAACAAATACTATTATGAATGAGTAAATGACTCCCAAGTGAACAAAACGGCTAAAAAACAAACAAAAAAAAAACTCTTTGCAGGAAAAACCCTGATGAAGTATTTTACTTGCATGAGCTTGTCTGTGCTTTTCACTGATCCGTCAGTGTCAGTTTATTCTGTTTTTCATTTAGTTTCATATCACAACCTGTTCTTTCTTTGCATGCTCACATGTCACTGTGTTCAGATTTGAGGTTTGTCATGTGTAAAAGTTTGTGAAGAATTTAAAGTTGGTTGTACACAAAAGAAAATATGCTGGACATTTACCTTGCTGTGGTAGGACTCATACAACGAAGGGCTGCACAATTATGGTCAAAATGATAATTACGATAATTTTGATATTAAGATCCAGATTATGATAATTTTATTTATTTTTAAGGCCAATATTTTTTCTTTCACTTTCACGTGAAGTAAATGGAGCACTGCTTTCATTTCTATGCTGTGTTGCATTCCTGCTAAAACATAAAAGTGTTAAATAACACTTAAGACATGGTTCTAGTTCACTTGAATTCAGTGCATGCTCTACAAGCAAAATAGAAATAAAATTATACCCTAAACGCCTCACTTGGTGAACATCTGCTCTTTAATGGATGCTACAGTTTACTGATGTTCCCTAAACGCCTCACATGCAGGCTACTATAGAAGCTAACTCAGCAGCTGTACACAGAGAAGCCTTTAGTCTCCACTCAGTTACTGCAGTGCAGCAAAAGGGATTTTGGCTAGAGGTTGCTTTAAATACCAGTATCTCAGCAAATGATGTTCATTTAATCGTGGGAAGCCAATATTGTGATTATATTAAATTAATTGTGCATGACTTGGTTGATGAATCGGACTCTTGGCAAAACACAAAAACTTGATTCCATTCATCTGCTTGGGCTTTCTTCCAGCTTCCTGCATGCTGCTTGTGTTTACCTGGGACTGATTTGTAGACTCTATTTTGTTGTGCATTGTCATGACTGCAGCTCCTAAAACAAGCAAAAGTTAGTGTCTGTGATTTATTTGCAGTATGGAGTCTACTAGATCAACCCCTCTGTGTCTGTAATCTCCGTGTCTCTCTCTAACTAATCCAAAAGCCTGTACCTGTTTATTCTCTTTTTTTTTTTTTTTCTGCTACGGCTCAAAGACGATGTCTAAGAAGATCCCGCAGTGCGCTGTGGAGGATCAGTCTGAGCATGAACAGCCCCCCAGCCATTGTCAGGTGGATCGGTCCACGAAAGCAGCAGCAGGTTGTAGGAACAAGGCAGAACCAGGCCAGAGGAATGGAGAGACTGCATCGTCATCCCCAGAGAGTGGCAGTTTGAATGGAGATGGAAAGCGCAGTGGGAAAAGCCGTCGTCGCAAGAAACGCTCATCTAATCCCGAGAACCTCCCAGAAGAGAAAGTAGACAAGGTCAAGAATGAAGTGAAACCAGACAAACGAACCAGTCAGCCACCTGACCGCCGTGCTGGGTTGATTGGTCTGCAGTCTGAGTGCGCTAATGTGTGGTTTGAACGCAGTATCTATGAGCGAGCCGAGAGCCTCTACCAGTGCTGGTTGGCGAGCTCCTCTAATGGGACCACCCAATCGAAACGGTTCCCTCCATCCTCAGGGAAACACTCAAACTCTGTGTCTACTGTGGCTTCATCTTCTGCAGGACCGTCCTGCCACCATGGTGATCAGGTGGCCTGTCACCATGTCGTACAAGCAGTGTGGGTAAACAAGACGACCTTTGACCAAGCAGAACGCCGCTTTGTTGAAGAATCCATGCAGCCATCAATTCCAAACTCTCTGAATCTCCCAACTCCACCTAACCGCTCCATTGCACCTAGAACACCAGATGAAGGATATCAGTCTCTAGCTCCAACTCCGGCGACCCCAGTCATCCAACAAGCAGCTGTCACACCAACCACTCGCCAGTCGATTAATGGACTGCCCCGCATCCCAGTCGAGCTGCTCAGAGATGTGTGGCTAGACAAGCCGCTGTATGACCGTGCTGAAGCAGCCTTCTACCAAAACCTGTACGGTAACAATTCCTCCAAACGGTCTAGCTGCACCTCCACCTCCAGAAGCAGTGACCACCCTCAAAGCCTTGTCGAGGAAGAAGAAGAGGAAGAAGACGAGGAAGTGGTGGTGGAGGAAAAGCGGGTGGTCCCGCAGGGTAAAGCGGAAATCTTTCATGCTCTGCACCCTATCCAGGAGGAGGAGGAACCAGCTGAGGTCCCAGAGAAGGAAGAAGCGTCAGCCGCAGGAATCTGCTATTTTCTTCACCCGGGAAGTGAGCGGGTGTGGCTGGACAAGTGGCGGTATGATGCTGCAGAGAGTCGCTTCCATGGCTGCAGAGCAGATAAAACCATGAAAGTGAAGAAGGATCGCAGGCCAGAAGCAGGAGCCTCATCCGTTGCCTTCATCGCCCCACTGAGGGACAAGTATGACCAAACCGGGAGAATGGAACTGCTCCAGATGTTTCAGTTCATCTTTCGTTGTTTTTCTTTATACCATCATGTGCTCCCCTTTGTTTTCTTTGAATGTGTGATTTGTTTTTTTTGTTGTTTTTTTTAAATTCACCTTATTTTTTCATCAATCTTGGTTTAGTCATTGCTTATTCCTTGTGGTCTGTCTTTAATTTTCCTGAATGACTGTTTGTATGATTGTATGAACAATTGTTGTTTTGCTTCCTTTTGTTAAGTATTTGCATAGTTTTATGAGGGTAGTTTGTTTGGTGGGAGAGTAGATTTTTAGTAACGCACAATAAGCCATTTAAGGTGGAAAATATTTCACAGTGAATGCATCTTTGTGGATAAGTGATTTAAAAATAGTTTAGTCGTAGTAATGAAGATTTTTTTTTTCCCCCCCTCACCTTCTGTTTCCTGGTTATACATCCCTGTCCTGTCCTTCCTTTCTCTCTCCTCTGTAGAAAAATGAGCACAGCAAATTTTCTGGCCCAGGACAAGATCTGGTTTGACAAACCTCGCTATGATGAGGCTGAAAGACGCTTCTATGAGCGCATGAACGGCTCGTCACAAACCACACAGGTAACCACACTGTCTGAGAAGTTTAATTTTCAAGTTATTCCTCCTCACATCTACAGTAGTCCTGGGTGATAGTCTGAACTGATATTGTAATGGGAATGAACAAAGAACTCTGCAGCTATTTTACTATCATAGTCTGCGCCATTTACACCCTAAAGTTTGCTTGTGTGAAAAGATTTTCTACCAGTTCAGACAGTTTTATCCAAAATAGCAGATGTAATAATTTGCTGTATATTTATCATGCAGTTATTTCTCAGTCCTGATTTAAAGTTTTACATTTTATTAACACTAAGCTACACAAAGCACAAAAACACTGACTGCATGTCAGTCCAGAAATACATACAGTAAATTGGGTTGATTTCGAATCATGATATAGTTCAGTCACATATGGTAAAATAAAGAAGGATAAAGCATCTAAATGTAAAATTGCAGACTGTAGCTGCAGAAGGATAACTATAGCCATGTTTGTATCAAACAGGGACATAGAAAGATAATAAAATGGTATCTTCAGAATGACATTGTAGGAATAAACCACTGTACTAATTGTGGAGTCAGTTACTGAACTGATAGTCAGTGGAAACTGACTTCTCTTCATTTTGTTTAAGGATGTTGGAGCTAACAGCATTCTGCAAGACATTGCTCGGGCCCGAGAAAACATCCAGAAATCTCTAGCAGGGGTAAGTACCATTATGCGGGCTTTGTGCGAGCGCTGTATCTAGCTCTTGTCTCACATTTTCCACATATATTCAAATCAGTGCAGTGGCCGTTTCTATTTGAACAGGGCGATTTGGGTGTAACAAAACAAAATGGCAAAGATAACATACTGTTCAAGTGTGTGAGGGAAAAAAATTGCAAACGTATGCAATAGAGGTAGCATCCTTTGCCATGGCAGACTAATCTTGACATTTATTAGATGGTTTCTCTGACATTACCAGTATCAAAGCAAGCCGACATGCTCGCCACTATTGGTGCTGAAAAGGAATGTTTGGATTTGTACATTGAGCCTGTGATTTGTGCTTGTAATTTGATCCTGTTTCATTGAATGATAGCGCTGCCATTTTCTTGCTGGAGATGGGTTAAAATTTATTGCTGTCCATACAGATTTTCTATAAATTTGATTCGAAGCTGAGTTAATCCCTAATCATGCAGGCTGACCTGTACAGAGAGAGTCAAATGTGGTTTATTTTGCAAGCCTCTGCTTTCAGTCTGATCTTTTGTAGAGCTTCCCGGCTCTACATTCCCTTGGTTCCTCTATTTTCTTTCTGCTCCACTCTCCTTATTGGTTCCCCTTTGGCATTTACTTCATTCAATCCTCTTCCTCCTTTCCTCCCTCGTCCCTGATTTTTCCTTTTTCATACCTGAAATCCCCTCCTCCCAGCTGAAGACTACACTGAGTAACAGAGGGTCTGATCAGCCTTCCCTGAGCCAACAGTCCCAGCTTGTAAGTGCCTCCACGCCTTGTGTGTCACTGGAAGTGCCTCTGCCACTGGTCGCTTTGTCAGTGGACTTTGCTGACAACCACACTCAATAATTTGAATCCTTTCTCAGCTTCTAGATGACTTAAATGTGTGGAGTGTTGCAGACCCACTACAAGTAGCTGCTAATCACTCATTTGTTTCTACCTGAGTCCATCAACAGTTTCTTTTTTTTTTCTGCTCTTACTTGCTGCTGGCTCTAGATGCTGCTGAGATGTGTACTGGCTGTGTGTTGTGTATTTACTGAGGGGTGTACTTAATCGTCCTGATGGTTTGATGAAAGGACTAATATTCAGGTTTTTCCACTTGAGGTTTGTCTCACTAAACTGTTCTGACCTCTCCTTCACTCTTTCTCTCCCTCCCTCCTCTTCCCCTCTCTCCTTCTCTCCTGTATTAACTGTGCAGAGCACCAGCAGCAGCAGTGCAGCTGATCAAGGAGAGCTCATCTGTCGCATCAAGAGCCTGGAGCTGGAGAACCAGAGCTTACACAAAGGTGGTATATCTGTCCACTTTGGTCAAATATGAATGCTTCTTTTTATTTCTAAAGCCATATAAAGGCTGTTTTTAGTGTCAGTAGCCAACATTTGAGCTATATGGATATTTAAAAGGCTCCACTCAAAGAAAACTCTTTATGTCTTACATTAGACTGCCTTATTTCACACTTTATAAAATATAAATATATTTTGTCCCAAAAATCAATGAATACACATAATTTCAATATTCATCAAAATAATCATGATGAGCATTTTGGCTAATAATGTCCTGCCCTACTTTTACGCGAGTGTTTGACAGAAAATTAAAAATTGTAGGTAATTTCTATGAATAAAAAACTTCAGTCATTAAATCTTTTCTTAGCATCTTAGTTTTCTTCACATCTTAGCCACGTTTGTGATTCTTATCTACCAATATAGACAGTTTTTTGTAATTAATTAATTAATTAATTAATTAATTAATTAATTAATTAATCTATTGATTGATTGATTGATTGATTGACCAAAAAGAACAGCGAGACGATGACCCCTCTTGAATACAGAACACGAGATTGACAGTTTTTTTCTGTAACATTACAGATTGTTAAATATTGAATAATAATGAAAGTTTTCTTCATAATTACCACCATAATGAAAATATTTTTTAAAGCAACCAGTGAAATGATTTTCTATACTCTACAGTCACTCTTTAGCAGTGACCAGCAGACTTGTGTCCAGGAACATTCGACTTGGAGTTGCATAAAAGAAATGCCATGATTTTTGGATTTTGTCGTTGGGACAGTTTGTAATCTATCACACATCCATAAGACCTTTGGAGTGTTGGAACTGGCTGAATTAAAACTGTGTGAAATGGAGAAAATAAGTCGTCACATTAGAAAAGATCAATTATCCAGGGGAGTTGAATTAGCTTGGTTTTGTTCTGTGTCTTTAGTCTTGTAGAATACATGACCATTCATATACTCATTTTCATGTGTTCCTGTTTATAAACAGCTGTGGTGTATTACATGATATGACTCTGGTTCTGGTCCTTTAGTGGTGGATGACTTAAGGGCAGCACTTTCCAAACTGGAATGTCGGGTTACAGTTCTTGAGAAGTCTCCTGCGGCTGCGAGCCCAGCTCCAGCTGCAGCTCCTTCAGTCCCCTACACAAATGTGAGTTTACACACTCTGCTTTGTACATTCAGGCATCTTGTGTTTTAGTTTAGCTCCAGTGCAACACCTTGAATGAGGATGGAATTATCCCATCAAAAATCTGCAGGTACTCAATTATCAAAATGTTAATATGTTCCCCACCCCTTAGGGCACTACTGTCCAGCAGAAGACCAGCGCTCCAGTTAAAGAGCAGGAGGAGGAGGAGGATGACGATGAAATCGATTTGTTTGGTAGTGATGATGATGATGAAGAGGCAGAGAAGCTCAAAGAACAGAGATTGAAGGAATACGCAGAGAAGAAAGCCAAGAAGCCCGCCCTCATCGCCAAGTCCTCCATCTTGTTGGATGTCAAACCTGTACGTCTGTGTTCTGTACTACTAAACTAAGATATTCACCTGGGAAAAAATGGCTGACTCAGTGCTCCCTTTTCATCTTGTGTTTTATCATATTTCCTGCATCTTTTAGTGGGATGATGAAACAGACATGGCAAAGCTGGAGGAGTGTGTGCGCTCAGTGCAGGCTGATGGCCTGTTATGGGGAACATCCAAACTGGTTCCGGTGGGTTACGGCATCAAGAAGCTCCAGATTGCTTGTGTGGTGGAGGACGACAAGGTGGGAACAGACATATTGGAGGAGGAGATCACCAAGTTTGAAGACTATGTAAGTTCTGTGCAATACACTTGCTTCTTTAGTGTTTCTGTGATGGTCACACACATAATTAAGCAAGAAAATCTACCTTAACACCCTGAATAAAATCATACACTGCTGTACAGATCATATACTTGTTGCAAAAAGTACGCTGAAAAAATGTGAAGTGGCAGTCTATGAAGAATCCAAACAGTGTGGCCTTCATAACATCATCAGTCAGCTGGCAGTTTGCACCTAGGCTACGCCCCGAAACAATTTGAGGTCACACCATGTGAAAGTGAAAAGGGAATAACATTTTCTGAGATGAGGTTAAAAAAAAACCCAGTAAAAATAGTGTGCTGCTTCACACATACCTAAATTGAAGAACGAGTCTGATGCATTGGCTCAGTCTACCTTCCCTGAGAGAAAAACCTGACTTACTTGATGATCAACACTAACTGTCCATGACTGCTGAGGTGGAATATAAGGAGTGCCCATCAAGTCAGACACATTGTCCTTCCTGTAGTGTGAGTCAGCTCAAAACAGTCAGCGATGACAAAATTGATGGAATTGAAATGCCCATCTTTGTGCACAGAGAACACAATGAATAACCAAGGTGATTGATAAATCCTTCAATATGCTTCAGTTGGTATGTGGTAATGTAGCCCTGTTTGTCCTTTATTAGTTGCTTACAGTCCTGAACTCTATTCTACAAATAAGAATTCTTTATTTTGCAAAAAAGAATTACAGAATAGTTGGTGTTTTTGAAGATAAGCGGTAGCTGTAGTTACAGCTATAACTTAACCTGCAAGGGGGAATTAGACACAAGGTTACATTAGTCCTTTGATGCATGTGAAATTGCATTTTATAAAAAAAATCTGTGGTGACGGGTTAAGGTATATAGGAAAGAAAGTTGTACATGACATACTTGCTAGAGCAACACTTCTAGAGAGGGTGAAAAGAATTTTAAACATAAAAAATGTGACATGCAATGTTATGAATTCTTATACAATAACTCCTGAACTAAACTACTGTGAATGATACTCATGTTTATTTAAAAAAAAAAAAAAAAAAAAGCAGCTAGAAGGAGTAAATTAAATAGATTGCATCCCCAACTAGAAAAAACGCATACAAGATTTTATCATGTGAAATGACACAGGGATGTTTTGCAGCATCGGTGACATGAAAACAAAATTTCTAACCGGCATGCATTGTTTTAAGTCCAAGCTGGTGCTGTGCAGCAGCATAGTAATTTGAAAAAGCCAGACAATAACCACTGAGTGAGGGAATGTCATTCCAACTGTGTGCAGCTTGTGATTTTAAGTGTATGTCACCACACACACCTAGTTGGTAATACTGTGAATGCAAGGACTTGCATATAATTGAGTGGGTCTTAGACTCAATAACCATTGTGTTACCTCTTTTAGTGATGATTAATCCTCAAGATTGCAGCTTTAAATATTCAAAAATAAAAACTTAAAAAATAGACTTGCACTCAAAGGTTCTGTGTAGACAGGTTTTTATTAATTTCGTAGATACTGAAAAGCATCTTAGAGAAACAAATATACAGACAGGTGAGCTACACATTGTTGCCTTTTCAGTAGGTACACCTAGCTAAAAGTAGTCTAATCCAACTGTCCAGCAATAAATCCTACTGTCATGAAGGTGAGTTATGGAAAATGTTAACCCTTTTGAAGAGGTGTCTATTGAACTTCATGGCTGTTTAGAAAGCAGTTTTTTGTGTCGCTAAAATGTATCTTTGGAGAGGTGTGTATAATGACACCTTTTATCAGTGACAGTACGATATTAGAAACACTCAAGCGTAATAACATACATGAAGTGTCATCTACACATATCTAAAAAAGTTAAATAAAAATCACAGAGAAGGCAGGATTTATTGCAGGGCTGTCCTATTAAACTGGGGTATCTTTGGCTTTATCCCCAGTTTGTGCACTCGAGGCATCATTACGCCTTCTGGTAACAGAGCTAACCATCGGTTTCTCTAAAAGTTACTGCTCAACAGCAACATAATTTGAGGATACTGAAAAGTACTGTTGGAGTTTTCCAGACATCTGGATGAAAAAATATCTTGGTCACTAAATGATAAAGGTTTTAACATCTTCCTTAGTCTTGTCTTTGTTTTCTATCCCTGTAGCTTGTGGGCTACCATCTTTGTCCTGATTTGGAAACAAGCTCAACCTAGTGAACAGAATATTTCTTCATCAGGAGGGTTATGTAGAGAGACCTGCAGAACAACAACAAGTGTTTTTAAATGACTCTCTGGGTTCGTCAAACATCCCCATTTGACAGCTTTCAGAGAAACCCATGTTTAGCTTTGACCTGATTGTGTGCTGCCACACAAGAGACACAAACTGGGGCTGGGTTGGGTGTACTCAATGGTAAATAAACTGGCCAGTGTACACATCTGCTTATCGGGCAATAAAAGCACATTGCTGCTACTATGTGGCTGAAATGAGGCACTCAGGAAAGCTTAGATATTTCAGTTCATCCAGTAGTTTGAGCAGTTTTGCAAAGAAAAATCTGCAGCAGAATTTCCCACCTGTGAGGTAGTTTAGGAAATAACCCGGGCATACTTGCATTTCAAATCTTTTCTCCTTTTGTTTTTCTCCATTTCAGGTTCAGAGTGTTGACGTAGCAGCATTCAACAAGATCTGATCTCAGTACGTCTTTTTCTGTCTTTCGTCATGCTTTGTTTCTCTGCTGATTGTGTCAACAGTTAATAATAATAAAAACAAACTCTTGCACTGAAATTGCTGTCTCATGAATTTAAGAGTATAGTTTGAGAACACTGAACACACATAATTTCTCATGATTTGTGGTCCTTCCATCTCAATACAATGGATGCGAGCAGAATAACGTCACTGTACAGTTTTTACAACATGTTCTCCGACCTCCTGAGAATAAACTGTTGATTTGACAGTGATGTCAGTGGACTGCTCAGTGTAGCAGCAAAGAGGTGTTCCTCTAAGGGAGTAATTTCACTCAGTTCTCCTCTTTAGTATTGGGATGGAGGAAGAACTCTCAGATCAAATGGACAAATACATGAAATTAAATCTGGATAGCTTAAACACAATTAGATGAAATGAGAAAATGTTTTGTGACTTAGGTGAACTGTTCCTTTAATACCTATGAAGCGTTAATGCTGGAATCAGACCATGCAACATTTGTCTTTTGAGATGATGGCTGTGTCAGATTTGATAGATCTAGTCATTTGTTATATGATTAAACCAAATGACTGTGTGTGTGTGTGTGAGCTAATATCCATCCCAGCATACTACAGTGTCCCAATAAAAAAAGTCAGTTATGTTCCAAAATATGTCAAATGCACAATGCCAATATCTGCTCTCAGTCTGCAGGCCAGCATGATTTTCAGGCCATTCTGACCCACAATTCTCTGTACCGCTGAGAATTTCACTTCAATGCATACTGCAAGCAACAGTACGTACTATTGCAGTGTGTACTGAAAGGAAAAAGTATGATTTGGAACGCAGCATTGGTGTTGAATGCCAAGGTCTTTTGGTATCGGAGACACACCAGTGGGATCAGGAATGCTGTCAGACCAGGTGAGACCGTATTAGTGAGGTTTTCTAAAGCATCTTAGAGGCAGAGTATTGTTTCTACTATCACTGATGATAAAATTACATCTGTCAGATGGATTGATATGATAAATATTTAGCACCTTTTAACCTTAGTTAGGTTCTACAAAGCACTTTACAATGTGGTCCTCATTACTCACCAATGGCAGCAGAGTGGTCATGCAAGACTGCTCCTTTAACATATTGTGACAGTATCACCATCCTGCCTTGATAATATACAATATATTAGTACTAGAGCCTAGGGAAACACAAACTGTGTTGTATACTATACATATAAAGAATAAAAAAATATAAAAGAAAAAAAAATCTGACCTTTAATAAAGTACTTTTAGCTCTAACAAGCGCTGAATATTGTGTTTTGGTTATGGATTTTTATTTATTTATTTCTACCTCTACTCTTGCTCTTATTTTTAGAATGCCAACTACAGGAAGGCTTTATCATATTAAAACATGCAGTTTTACCGTCAATCAAAAACACCACTTCATAATACATAGTTGGCCTTTTTTCACTGAAATGTTTTAGCGACCAGCAGCTGATGTAACTCATGCATCTAAAAAAAAAAAAAAAAAACAACATTGAGGAAAAAATTCTATATTTTCAGTTGTTTACCAAAGTGAAAATATAATATATTCTAGACTCAATACCTTAAAAGTAAAACATTTCAAACCGTTTTTGTTTATATTTTGATGAATATAGCTTATAGGTTACAAAAATCTGAATTCCAGTATCTCAAAATATGAATGTCATTTTTAGTTTTAGTAATTTACCATTCAGATAGTATAAATACTGTGTATCTCTCAGTCTAGTTTAGTGCAAAGAAACACAATTATGTGGATGACCGCTGACTGGAAAGTTGTCCAGAAAGATGGTCATCAACATCCTGCACAAGGAGCCACAGAAGATCATATCTGTATCTAAGCATGTTAATGAAAAGTTGACTGGAAGAGAAAAGTCAACTTGGGGGAGCTTCACAAAGAGTGGACAGTTAATTTGAGCATCAGAAGCCACCAAGTACAGGTGTCTTTAGGAAAGTGACTACAACTGTCACATTTGTAATATGAAGCCACTTCCGAACCAAAGACAACATCAGTAGCATCGTACCTGGGTTGAGGAGAAAAAGAACTGGACTGTTGCTTAGTTGCTCAAATTCTTTTTTTCTCATCAAGACCCTGCAGCCTGGAGAAAGAGTGGAGAGGTGCAGAATCCAAGGTCTTTGACATCCAGGGTTGTTTCCTCAGTCTGTGATAATTTGTGGTGTCAGGTCATCTGCTGGCACTGGTCCACCGTGTTATATCAAGTCCAAAGTCTACGCAGTCGATTGCCAGGAGATTTTACAGAACTTCATGCTTCCATCTGCTGACAAGCTTTATGGAAATGCCAATTGCCTTTTCAGTAGGACTTAGCACTTGCCCACAGAGCCAAAACTGCTACCAAATGGCTGACCATGATATGACTGTGCTTGATTGGCCAGCCAGCTCACCTGACCTGAACCCCACAGAACCCCAAACGGGGTATTGGAAGACAGGAAACACTCAACCCAAGAATACAGAAGGCTTCTGTCAAAGCAATTTGGGTTTCACTAATACCTCAGCAGTCCCAAAGGCTGATCGCAGTAAAGGAGCCTCAACTAAGTATTAAGTGAATAAACGAACACATCGTAAATCCTTTCTTTTCGATTGATCTTGACAAATATTCTAGTAAGCTGAGATGCTGGATTTCTGGTTTTCTTGAGCTACAAGCAATAATCACCCAAATTAAAACAAATAAACGCTTAAACGATTTTTTGTGTGTAATGGAATAGTGAGTATATGGAAGTTAAATAAAATAATTACAAAAAGAAATGAACTTTTTCAAAATGTTCTAATTTTTTTTTTAGATGCACAAGTAATTAATACCTGAGTCACTTTTTTTTAAAATTTTTTTTAAATAACACCAAAAAGTCTGTGTTTAGTGACATAATATATCTAAATATTTTGATGACCATGCTCAGTTTACGGTACAGAGTGTGATGGTACAGTTGGCTCCAAGCCACATTGCAGGGTAAAGAGGCATGTCAAATTTGGTCTCCACCCTGTGCAGGAGGTGGACTCCTCTAGCTGTCACCATGTAGAAGCAGAGCAGACCTACATCTTGGTCCAGAAACACCCCAATCCTGCGGGATACAGAGCCAGAGGGAACTTCCACCACCTTCTTCTGTTTTTCATGACAGAAGACCACGGAGGACGAGCTGCACTGAAGACTCCAGGACAGATGATTGTATCCCAGCCTGCAGTGATCAGATGATCCCTGAGGAAGAATCAAACATCAATGAGCTGACATATGGCAATGTGCAAAAACATCTTTGTCAATAGTTTCGTAGGATTGATTTATTCTCCCTCAGTTGACTCAACAAAACAGTTAACCTGCGATTCAGGCCATGTGATGTGACTAAACGGTAAATAATGAGTCATATTCTGTCTCAGAATTTTAGACATAATTGTCCCTGAGGTATCATAAAAACTTAAGTCAGATGCAAAATTGTGACATTTTAGTTTAATATAGTCTAAGTCCTGTTTTACTCCGCAGTTAACGCACAAGAAAAAATTTACTGACAGAAATGTTGGATAAACAGTATCAACAGTGTGCAGATAGTGTCAGTATTTTTGCCCTGGCTTTATCCCTCTTTTTGTTAACTTGTTTTTTTTTATTTCAGCTTCAACAACATTACAATATACATTCATATTTACAATTTCATCTGCTATTTTTTTGTATTTGCTTTCCAGCTGCATTTACATGGTGTATAGCTGATTTAAAGTAAGATTGGGAAGATTTGCTTTATATTAGCAGTAATAAAAAAGGGTGGAAATAACAAAAGATATTTAAAAAAAAAAACTTTTAGTAGTGTTGATGTGCACATATGCACAGAGAGGTGATGATTCAGTAGGTGTGGAGATATTTGGATCATTCTATTGTAGTAGGATGGATACTGCAGGATTCCACCCTATTAATAAATACATCTTGTTGGAGTCTCAGGGACTACGCGATTTGTCACATCTGGTCTATTCTCCTCATCTTTTCAGTTCACATATTGTATGTTGCTGAGTCCATTTTAACCATTTAATATATTTGTAGAGGATATATTTTAGCAATTCCATCAATGCCCTCTGATATTAGGTCCACCTTTTGGTATTTTGTGAAATTCTGGTGGAATACATCTTTAAATATGTCAAACACCTCCTTTCCATTGGAATCACCTTCCATTTAGATTCCACCCATGTATTTGAACTGGTTATTCGATGTGGACTGGTGCATATTTCTTCCAACTTGTGGTCCTGAGTGTTATCGCCATAAATTTGTCTGCCTTGACCAGCACATCCTCTGTAAAGATTTAACTTTGTTAAAAAAAAAAAAAAAAAAAAAAAACACATACACAAGCTATTGTAGCTACCTCGGAATCTGTTTCTAGGATCTTTAGAAATAAACATTTAGAATAATAAATGAATGAATGGATGGATGGATGAATGAGGGCTGCAAGGTGGCTTGGTGGTTAGCATCGTTGCCTCGCACCCCCCCGGTTTGCATCCTGGTTAGGACGCCCAGGATCTTTCTGCATGGAGTTTGCATGTTCTCCCTGTGCAGTGTGGGTTCTCTCTGGGTTCTCTGGTTTCCCCCCACAGTCCAAAAACATGTTGAGGATAATTGGTGATTCTAAATTGTCCCTAGGTGTGAATGTGAGTGTGTTTAGTTGTCTGTCTCTCTGTGTAACCCTCTGATAGACTGATGACCTGTCTAGGGTGTCCCCTGCCTTCACCAGGGGGTAGATAGATCCATTATCTATCTATGAATGAATAAATGAATGGATGAATGGCTTTTCATGCACTGGCTGATTTGTGGTCCAGCTGGTTTTTTTTTTTTTTAAATAACAACAGTCTAATTATCCGAGTTTCCCTGTAAACACTTCAAAAAGTTGAAAATGTTGGACACTGTAGCACCTTTCTTCCAATGTTCTCGTAGCTGAGCCCCAGTGCCATCTGCTGGCCGTCCCACTCCACCTCCCAGTAGTTACGGCCTGTTAGACCCTCACGACACAGCACCTGGACCCACGAGTCAAACCGGTCAGGGTGTTCAGGGTAAGTCTGTATTTCTCCAGTTCGTCTGACCACACGGTTTCCCTCAGTCAGACAAAGCTCCCTGTGTGCTGAGAACGGGTCCAAAGACAGCAGACAAAAATCTGCCAGGCAAAGGACATTCAGGTGGATTAGTGTGTGTGTGTGTACAAGAGGTATACGGTCTGGTTAGTGTCAGACAGGCAAAACTCACACTGCAGGAGATCAGCTCTGTTGTCCAAAGCAGGAACATGTGCTGCATCACACACTTCTATTGCCGTGTAAGTAAACAGATAAAAAGAAAAAAATAGTTTAGACCAAAAAACTGTTTAGACCAAAAAACAGCTTATCTCACATTACAATACAGAATATTTTCTCAAATGGAAAATCATTCCAGTGGAATCATATCTGAGTAGATGAGCAGAAATCAGGCTTTTTCTACTACTTTCTACTGCTTTGCTTTGAACAGATCACAGAGAAACCTACATACCTCAGCACAATGGTTCTGATCATGCTCAGTGCATTTTGTTTTTATGTCTTTGCAACTACATCACAAAGTGCTGAAATGACTAAACTGATGATGTAGTACACATACATGCTAAGCAGGACACTCACCCTTGTTGGGCTTTTCCATCTGCAAAAGGTTTACAGTTTTTACTGTGTAAAGAGAAAATTGACCCAAACAGGGAGAGGAGGATTAGTTACAATATATCAAGAAGATGGGTTTGTAGGTGACGATATGAAACTGACAGAAAACAGATAAACATGGCAGACCTGCAGAGGTGACACTTGGAAATTCAGTGTGGTACAGATTCTGCAGCTGTTCCTTCAGGTTTGAGATGGCCCTCCTCACAGGTCCAAAGGAGACATGTGGACTGACTGTCAGAGAGCTGCTTGCCTCTGCAGGGACTGGACTACGACATATCTAATACAGAGGAAGCAGCAGTGCTCAGTATGAACTCAATGTGAGTTTCTTATCTTTCACTGCCAAATTCAAGACAGTGAAACACTGAAACACCTAAAGTTGGGGCAGTCAGAATAATTTCAAAATCCATATGAACTTTTAGCATGTTCAATTCAAGTAGTCTGAGAGGAAACTATACTTCTTCACCTCCTCGTGGCTGTTTTAAGGCTTTAGAAAATCTAGCCCATGACTCAGAATCCAGCCAATCACAGGGGTTTTCACTGAGAGAAGGTAAAGTATTATTTAGAGCTACAAGGTCTTTGGCAGAAGTAGAATGTGGTGGCACAAAAGGTTTAACAGAGGACTTTATCTCAGGAGAGATAACCACGACGACTGTGGTGGTGTTCTGCCTACCCCAGCTTTAAGAACACACAGGCATTGTTCTCTTCACCTGCACAATCAGCCGCTGATCCTGAGTGTGAGAAAGTCCCTCCAGCTCAGTGTCTCTCCTCTTCAGCTCTGAGATCTGTCGCTCCAGATGCTGGAGGTGGTTTTCAGCTCGATTCAGTTCAGCTTTCTCCTGAGCCCTGATGAGCGCCTTCATCTCAACACGACGATGCTCCAAAAACTCCATCAGTTCTGAGAAGATCCTGCTGCTGTCCTTCACCGCTGCTTTGGCCATATGCTGAAGAATACACCACACCCTCATTACATCTGACAACAACAGTAATGTAGTCAGACATTATCACATTACAAGCAAATGTATCACAAATGTTGGCACTGTTTGCAAAAATCTAACATCATGCACCCATACATGTACTTATAATGTGGCTACCTAATGTAAAAGTTTTCTTTTTCTGTCAAATCACTCTTACGTAATTATTTGTCTTTGTTAGAGGGTTATTCATCTCATTTTTACCGTGGTGCTTCACTGATTTGGATGTAAAACATCAGCATAAAAGCAGACAGCAGGTAAATGCACGTACAGTCTCGTCTCTACTCACAGAGAAAGACTTCAGACTTTGTTTCAGCTGCTGAACCTCGAACTCCCTCTCTTTAATTTGTGCTGCCAACTGTCTCCGTGTTTCTCCCAGGAGCCTCTGAAACAGCAACATGATGTGGATTAGAACTGTGTGTCAATAAAAACACCTCCATTTAAGAACCAAACGTGAGTGACTCCTCACCTGTCCATCAGTCCTTTCAGGACGCACAGAGGACACATCAAAGGTGGGGTGCTCAAAGCCCCCCTCTGCAGGGGCCAAGAGCTCATACAGAGGGGGAGCAGAGGGGCCCTTAGTCAGCCCCACAGCACTGAGTTTCTGCATCATCTCTACCAGCAGGTTGTTCCTACCCAGCTTGGGTCTGGGACTGAAGGTGGCTCTGCACTGTGGACAGTTGCAGACTCCCTGACGGTCCCAGTATTTTGTGAGGCAGCTCATGCAGTAGCTGTGGCCACATGGAATAGTGACTGGATCCCTGAGCAACTCCAGACAGATAGAGCAGCTGAACTGGGCATTGTCCACACTGAGCAGGGCCTGAGCCATTGCAGCTGGAGGAGGCTGGACACAGAAACAGCAGACTATTGATGTAATAAATAGCAACACGCCTGCCTTAAACCATGCAGCAGCCAGGGGCCCAAACATTCACTCCATTTCTCATAATAAAAGTCTTATGACATTAAGACATTGTTGCTTTTATCAGATATAGCATTTCAGACATTACTGCTAACTCTTGTTAAACAACCAGCTCAAAAGCTAAAAATTAGGGAGCAAGTCACCAGGACTGAGCAATAAAGGCTTTAAGATGAGATATCAGCAGTGGCCCAAAATGAACACTGACAGGCAGATAACAGTTGTGTTTTACATGTAAGTAGAAGCGACTTCTTATTTTGCCCAGTGAATGTGTGCATGTGGTCATCTCAATGTGACTTCATAACCCAAAGAAAACACAAACTGACATGCTTCACTCTGGTGCAGAATCAGTGCACTAGCAATATTTTCATTTACACGACTGTGCGCCATATTAAGATTTCCTGTATGCAATACTTGCAGCCACTGCCTATTTCACCGGTTTCTATTGTTATTTTGTTTGCTATCATATTGTATGCAGGTCATTCCATGTCATGTCACCCAGATTTCAGAAATCTTCCCAATTCATGTCCTGTATTTGTTTATTTTTATCATTGTCATGTAACTTATCATGTAACTTCTACCTAAACCATAGAACCTTGCGAAATCCCACAGCTCTTCTCCAAATACTTTTTGAGTGATGAGTTTTTGAAAATAGGCCCTCTGTATTAAACTTTATAACTTCAGCAATTCTTTTAAAACACCTTTAAAGCCTCACCAATTGCTTATTTTATACAGGATCCAGCTGATTTTTTATTTTTTTCACTGAATATCCCAGAAACCTCAAGAAAAAAAATGCACTCAAAGAAATGTATATGTAAAATGTAAATGTAAATTTTGCTATTTTTTTAAAATAATTTCTCATCTAAATGAAAAACCTTGAATTTTCATAAATGTATATCGCCACTAATATTCACTCAATTCCAATCAAATTTTTGTTGTGGGTAGAAACCATTTTGTTTTGTCATATCAAAATGTTATGTTGCAAGGCTCCATGGTTTAGGCAGAAGCTTCTGCATGATTTTTATCAAGAAAATCCAAGACCTCATTTTTTACTGATGTTTTTGCACCATCCCCTCTGCTGCTGCAACACTGTAAGTTGTCCTACTGTGGAATTAATAAAGAATCATCTTATGTTATCTAATCTTAATTGGAAAAACAACATAGTTCATGTCTGCATCTGCCCATAGATGATCAAGACAAGAGCAGGAACAATAACACGTTAGTTCCACGACAGGAGAGACCCGGTGTAATCGGCAACTAGGTCTGGCATGCAACACAGCAAACTTTAACAGCAAGTTTTCAATCAAATTGTACGTTCATTACAAAGACAACGTAATGTTGCGTGCAGTCTGCTGCAAACTACATGAAGGTGTACTCGGATTTCGCAGCTTTTACTGACCTGAAGTGTGTGTGCAGTCAGCTGGAGAAACAGGAAGCAGCAGGGATGGGCATGGAGGGAGGATGACGGAGGGAAACACATGTTTGTGTTTGACTGCCGCCTACTGGCAACACACTGAATCACAGCTCAGATGGAGCTCAGGACTCATCCAGAAAAAAAAACAACTTCAATACAAGTAATTCCACATGAGAATCGTGGGAGTAGATCTCATTCTGTACCAATATGTGTGCAAAAATGTGTAGAAAAGCTGGAAATACTGGATACTACGGAGCCCCTAAAGGGACATTAGCAGATTAAAAAAAAAAAAAAAAAAAGTAGTTTCTCGTGCTCAGGAGCTCACTGCAGTGTCACCAAAGTCACTACAGCCATCACTTCTCTCCTACTGATCATACTACAACACATGGTTTCACCAAAAATATTCATTTTCATATTTTTTATGATTTTTTAGATTAATTTCAACAACTCACTGTACTGTACACCAATGAAACTCTGTCCAGCCACAACAGAAGCTCTGCTGATCATACTANATTGACCAAAAAGAACAGCGAGACGATGACCCCTCTTGAATACAGAACACGAGATTGACAGTTTTTTTCTGTAACATTACAGATTGTTAAATATTGAATAATAATGAAAGTTTTCTTCATAATTACCACCATAATGAAAATATTTTTTAAAGCAACCAGTGAAATGATTTTCTATACTCTACAGTCACTCTTTAGCAGTGACCAGCAGACTTGTGTCCAGGAACATTCGACTTGGAGTTGCATAAAAGAAATGCCATGATTTTTGGATTTTGTCGTTGGGACAGTTTGTAATCTATCACACATCCATAAGACCTTTGGAGTGTTGGAACTGGCTGAATTAAAACTGTGTGAAATGGAGAAAATAAGTCGTCACATTAGAAAAGATCAATTATCCAGGGGAGTTGAATTAGCTTGGTTTTGTTCTGTGTCTTTAGTCTTGTAGAATACATGACCATTCATCTACTCATTTTCATGTGTTCCTGTTTATAAACAGCTGTGGTGTATTACATGATATGACTCTGGTTCTGGTCCTTTAGTGGTGGACGACTTAAGGGCAGCACTTTCCAAACTGGAATGTCGGGTTACAGTTCTTGAGAAGTCTCCTGCGGCTGCGAGCCCAGCTCCAGCTGCAGCTCCTTCAGTCCCCTACACAAATGTGAGTTTACACACTCTGCTTTGTACATTCAGGCATCTTGTGTTTTAGTTTAGCTCCAGTGCAACACCTTGAATGAGGATGGAATTATCCCATCAAAAATCTGCAGGTACTCAATTGTCAAAATGTTAATATGTTCCCCACCCCTTAGGGCACTACTGTCCAGCAGAAGACCAGCGCTCCAGTTAAAGAGCAGGAGGAGGAGGAGGATGACGATGAAATCGATTTGTTTGGTAGTGATGATGATGATGAAGAGGCAGAGAAGCTCAAAGAACAGAGATTGAAGGAATACGCAGAGAAGAAAGCCAAGAAGCCCGCCCTCATCGCCAAGTCCTCCATCTTGTTGGATGTCAAACCTGTACGTCTGTGTTCTGTACTACTAAACTAAGATATTCACCTGGGAAAAAATGGCTGACTCAGTGCTCCCTTTTCATCTTGTGTTTTATCATATTTCCTGCATCTTTTAGTGGGATGATGAAACAGACATGGCAAAGCTGGAGGAGTGTGTGCGCTCAGTGCAGGCTGATGGCCTGTTATGGGGAACATCCAAACTGGTTCCGGTGGGTTACGGCATCAAGAAGCTCCAGATTGCTTGTGTGGTGGAGGACGACAAGGTGGGAACAGACATATTGGAGGAGGAGATCACCAAGTTTGAAGACTATGTAAGTTCTGTGCAATACACTTGCTTCTTTAGTGTTTCTGTGATGGTCACACACATAATTAAGCAAGAAAATCTACCTTAACACCCTGAATAAAATCATACACTGCTGTACAGATCATATACTTGTTGCAAAAAGTACGCTGAAAAAATGTGAAGTGGCAGTCTATGAAGAATCCAAACAGTGTGGCCTTCATAACATCATCAGTCAGCTGGCAGTTTGCACCTAGGCTACGCCCCGAAACAATTTGAGGTCACACCATGTGAAAGTGAAAAGGGAATAACATTTTCTGAGATGAGGTTAAAAAAAAACCCAGTAAAAATAGTGTGCTGCTTCACACATACCTAAATTGAAGAACGAGTCTGATGCATTGGCTCAGTCTACCTTCCCTGAGAGAAAAACCTGACTTACTTGATGATCAACACTAACTGTCCATGACTGCTGAGGTGGAATATAAGGAGTGCCCATCAAGTCAGACACATTGTCCTTCCTGTAGTGTGAGTCAGCTCAAAACAGTCAGCGATGACAAAATTGATGGAATTGAAATGCCCATCTTTGTGCACAGAGAACACAATGAATAACCAAGGTGATTGATAAATCCTTCAATATGCTTCAGTTGGTATGTGGTAATGTAGCCCTGTTTGTCCTTTATTAGTTGCTTACAGTCCTGAACTCTATTCTACAAATAAGAATTCTTTATTTTGCAAAAAAGAATTACAGAATAGTTGGTGTTTTTGAAGATAAGCGGTAGCTGTAGTTACAGCTATAACTTAACCTGCAAGGGGGAATTAGACACAAGGTTACATTAGTCCTTTGATGCATGTGAAATTGCATTTTATAAAAAAAATCTGTGGTGACGGGTTAAGGTATATAGGAAAGAAAGTTGTACATGACATACTTGCTAGAGCAACACTTCTAGAGAGGGTGAAAAGAATTTTAAACATAAAAAATGTGACATGCAATGTTATGAATTCTTATACAATAACTCCTGAACTAAACTACTGTGAATGATACTCATGTTTATTTAAAAAAAAAAAAAAAAAAAAGCAGCTAGAAGGAGTAAATTAAATAGATTGCATCCCCAACTAGAAAAAACGCATACAAGATTTTATCATGTGAAATGACACAGGGATGTTTTGCAGCATCGGTGACATGAAAACAAAATTTCTAACCGGCATGCATTGTTTTAAGTCCAAGCTGGTGCTGTGCAGCAGCATAGTAATTTGAAAAAGCCAGACAATAACCACTGAGTGAGGGAATGTCATTCCAACTGTGTGCAGCTTGTGATTTTAAGTGTATGTCACCACACACACCTAGTTGGTAATACTGTGAATGCAAGGACTTGCATATAATTGAGTGGGTCTTAGACTCAATAACCATTGTGTTACCTCTTTTAGTGATGATTAATCCTCAAGATTGCAGCTTTAAATATTCAAAAATAAAAACTTAAAAAATAGACTTGCACTCAAAGGTTCTGTGTAGACAGGTTTTTATTAATTTCGTAGATACTGAAAAGCATCTTAGAGAAACAAATATACAGACAGGTGAGCTACACATTGTTGCCTTTTCAGTAGGTACACCTAGCTAAAAGTAGTCTAATCCAACTGTCCAGCAATAAATCCTACTGTCATGAAGGTGAGTTATGGAAAATGTTAACCCTTTTGAAGAGGTGTCTATTGAACTTCATGGCTGTTTAGAAAGCAGTTTTTTGTGTCGCTAAAATGTATCTTTGGAGAGGTGTGTATAATGACACCTTTTATCAGTGACAGTACGATATTAGAAACACTCAAGCGTAATAACATACATGAAGTGTCATCTACACATATCTAAAAAAGTTAAATAAAAATCACAGAGAAGGCAGGATTTATTGCAGGGCTGTCCTATTAAACTGGGGTATCTTTGGCTTTATCCCCAGTTTGTGCACTCGAGGCATCATTACGCCTTCTGGTAACAGAGCTAACCATCGGTTTCTCTAAAAGTTACTGCTCAACAGCAACATAATTTGAGGATACTGAAAAGTACTGTTGGAGTTTTCCAGACATCTGGATGAAAAAATATCTTGGTCACTAAATGATAAAGGTTTTAACATCTTCCTTAGTCTTGTCTTTGTTTTCTATCCCTGTAGCTTGTGGGCTACCATCTTTGTCCTGATTTGGAAACAAGCTCAACCTAGTGAACAGAATATTTCTTCATCAGGAGGGTTATGTAGAGAGACCTGCAGAACAACAACAAGTGTTTTTAAATGACTCTCTGGGTTCGTCAAACATCCCCATTTGACAGCTTTCAGAGAAACCCATGTTTAGCTTTGACCTGATTGTGTGCTGCCACACAAGAGACACAAACTGGGGCTGGGTTGGGTGTACTCAATGGTAAATAAACTGGCCAGTGTACACATCTGCTTATCGGGCAATAAAAGCACATTGCTGCTACTATGTGGCTGAAATGAGGCACTCAGGAAAGCTTAGATATTTCAGTTCATCCAGTAGTTTGAGCAGTTTTGCAAAGAAAAATCTGCAGCAGAATTTCCCACCTGTGAGGTAGTTTAGGAAATAACCCGGGCATACTTGCATTTCAAATCTTTTCTCCTTTTGTTTTTCTCCATTTCAGGTTCAGAGTGTTGACGTAGCAGCATTCAACAAGATCTGATCTCAGTACGTCTTTTTCTGTCTTTCGTCATGCTTTGTTTCTCTGCTGATTGTGTCAACAGTTAATAATAATAAAAACAAACTCTTGCACTGAAATTGCTGTCTCATGAATTTAAGAGTATAGTTTGAGAACACTGAACACACATAATTTCTCATGATTTGTGGTCCTTCCATCTCAATACAATGGATGCGAGCAGAATAACGTCACTGTACAGTTTTTACAACATGTTCTCCGACCTCCTGAGAATAAACTGTTGATTTGACAGTGATGTCAGTGGACTGCTCAGTGTAGCAGCAAAGAGGTGTTCCTCTAAGGGAGTAATTTCACTCAGTTCTCCTCTTTAGTATTGGGATGGAGGAAGAACTCTCAGATCAAATGGACAAATACATGAAATTAAATCTGGATAGCTTAAACACAATTAGATGAAATGAGAAAATGTTTTGTGACTTAGGTGAACTGTTCCTTTAATACCTATGAAGCGTTAATGCTGGAATCAGACCATGCAACATTTGTCTTTTGAGATGATGGCTGTGTCAGATTTGATAGATCTAGT